CGCATTCATTGTAAGATTTGCCCATACGGTGGGCAGGCTGTGAAGCCAACACCTTCGCACTGATAATGTAACTCTACGTTACCACGTCTTTGGAATTTATGTTCAGTGTTTTTTTTTTTAGAAAACTTTGCGTGTAGGTAAAGTTGACATTTAAAGAATATTTTACACCCCTCTCACCCCCCCCCCATCTTATCCAATACCTTAAATACTGAGATCAACAAAAAAGAACATTTACAAAGTAATTCACCTTCAAGTGACTAGTTGACTTATCGTGGCAGAAGAGAGTTTGTCTTCGCATGTGTTTTTTGTGGAAATATTTGACAACACTCAGTGAATCTTGGTCATACCCAATAAATAGCGTGCAAGCGCAATCGACAGTCACAACTTACGTGCAGTTTTGCATGAAGAAGTCAAAAGTCATACGGGGCTGACAGGCTCAGGGCACACGCCTGGTGTGAAGCGACGCGTACATCTCAAGTTTAACTTTTGACTCACTGTACAGAATTATGTCATGCTTAAATTATGAAGTGACATCGACTTTAACTAAATTTTGATCGATTTTAATATTGTTTACATAGAAAGAACTTCAGATTTATTACTTCATTCTGACACCTATAGAACACATTAAATATGTGAAATACACGACTAAGTACTCCTGAGAAAGTCTATATTTTTTTCAAAATTTAAGTGATTAAATAAAGAGAAACAAAATATCCTCGAATTCTATAATACGACAAGTTGAGAGACGACTATGGAAGAGGTCAAATAGGCATTTTGATCGTCGTCTCTTACTATATGAATGACGGCTAGTGACTATTACCCGCATCTATTATCAGATGTGTTGTGATCTCTTATATTTTTTGTCAATGCATTGTTTTACATGTTAGTCATGTTGCAGCTCTATTATGGTTGTAGCACGAATGGGTCGGTCCGGTCGGGGAAGGACTACGATCTCACAGAATACCAGTGATGAAGTTTACAATGTATAGCAGAAAAACGAAATATAAATAATTTATTTTACAACGTCTTGTGTATGCAAATGCTCCACACTATTCACCAGTTGCGAGTATTTTTTGTTCTTTTCTGGAAATTGAAGAGGTTATTTGAAACTGTTTGGTAGATAAACGGTGACTAATGCTTACTGAACTCTTTGTTGGCGACATTCGTAACGAAATATTGTTGTAGAAAACAGAATAACACCAAATGTTTGTACATCATTGGCACTTGTGCAAAGAAAAATGTTTGGACAGCGAATATCATGGCTGAGTAGATTTTCCTGTCAATAATTAAAAAGCGAAATGTTTTTTGGGACATGTTTTATAACATAACGTCTGCATCTATTACTTTTGTTCAACTATCACAAATAAGTAACCGTAATATCTTAAATATGAAGACACATTAGGTCAAAATGATAAATAATGTACTGATCTAACTTAATAAGACAGTGATGATGATGATGCTCCCATCATAAAGTAAAGTAGTATGTTAAATCGTTTAAAATTAAAAGATTTTATTTCCATTCAACGTTTTGTATAGGTACACCAAATTCATAGTAGTAAAAGTTAGTAAATCTATAGACACTTATTAAAACTAATGCGATTCTTTTCCAATTAGTTGCCAATGATATGTTTGACCATTATAACAATAATATAAAATTATGAAATAACGTGTGGTTATAAATATTTTTTCAGTATCTTCGGGAATACCACAGCAAGCAGGTTTTTACTGGAAAGGCGTGTGGCTCCCACTATGCGTCACTTTTGAGCCGGGGACAGCTAAATCCTTGTAGTAAGTAAATCTTCTTTAGTACTTTATAATGTAACCAAGTACTTATACCAAGTAGCGTGACGTTTTTAAAGTGTTTACATTTAAAGTAATTCGCTTGTATTTTATATAACTATTTTTATATACGCCTTTAAAAGAAAGAAATTTTTTCAAACATCCATAATCAAGTAATCAGTGTCATTTCAAAGAATATTAAACATATCAAAATTCGGTTCATAAAACAGTAGATACAATCGAACATTGTGTTTAAAAGAATGAAGTTTGGCAATACTTTAAAGATAAAACAAGATTTATTTTTTTAAAATTTAATGTTTATGACATTGGTTTTGTTCACAGTATTGAGATGTTAGATCGAACGGAAGCGCCAACCATACAAGAGGGCTATGGAATATCTGTAGCGTACGCCTGCATTATGGAGATCATACGCTCGATAGCTATCAGTGTGGAAGGCGACGAGTACTTTAGGTAAACTCGAAAACTTAAGATGACGTACTAAGATAACACTACTTTTATAATTTTAAATAATTTCAGCTATTAGCACAATTATCTATATCTACATAGTATAACCTGGTGACCTGTAATACGGGTATCTTACCCACCATAGGCTCCAGCGATCCACGGGCAAAGTTGTTTTGTACTACTTATATGCTACTTATAACTCTAAACGTAACTTTGTATGTGGTGAGAAATAAACGTTATTATTATTATTATTATAAAACAAAGTCGCTTCCCGCCATCTACACGCTTGGATCTTTTAAAGTAACTAACGGATTTTAATGTTGTTATCATCAATAGACAGAATGATTCAAGAGGAACGTATATGTTACATGCATGTGTTGTCGAGATCCAAAAATCACCCGTGCAAAGCCGGAGCGTATCGCAAGTATATAAAAAATCCCGGTGTGTGTGTGTTCGTAATTCTTCTCCTCCTAAATGGCTTGATTTATGAGGTCAACTTAGGATGGTTCTTACCTTTTTACAGAAATTACCTGTGCGACGACGGGGCGGATCGCTAGTTTTTAGTGAAACTCCCACAAATTAAACCTGTTTGAGGGCCTATTTTTTGTTATGGTATTATTTTGTTATGGCTCTAAATATCTAACAAATATAATCCACTTGTTGCTTTTAGGCTTCAAGAGTTATATGAAGATGTACAAAATGATGGAGACGAAATTAATTCTAACAATACCGGAAACAACAAAGGTAAGATTCCTTGTTAACTTCTTGTTAATTCGTATATCGTTGTCCTCGCTAATTGTATTATCTTTGCAGAAATTGTAAACAAAACTGATACCGAAGAGATATCAAGTAATGGACATAAAAGAGAACCCGATCAGAATTCCAATGTGGTGGAGAAAATTGATCCGAATGCAGAGAAAGAGAGGCTTCTGAAACTACAGGTATTGACGATTACTATCGCATCGCATAGGTTATTATGTTTTTATACTCCGTCAAACTATTTACAGTGAAACCTGGTCAAGTGGGACCTGGATAAGTAAGAAACCTCTATTATTGAGAACTCTGTTAATGGGAATTTTCGAACCTGATTACATGGATTACTGATTACTGGGATTTGATTTCCAGGATTTTTTCGATGTTTACCTCTATAATTGGGACTCTAGAGCTCAATTCCCTTTATAAGTGAGACAATTTTATTAACATTTTCACCTTTATAAATGGAATAACGGTATATTTCGACCACTATAAGCGGGGGCCTCTGTAAATGAGACAACTAAATTTTAAACCTGTCTAACTGGAAAACTGGATACATGAAAATATCTTTAAATAGTACAAAATCTTTGGTCCCTTGAGATCCCAATTAATCAGGTTTCACTATATTTAACTTTTGACACCTCGAGTACTAATCAATAAGTGATATCCCGATCCGTTACCGATTCGATTTTCGACACATTGGTATTTTATTTTTGCCCAACATTTTGTATTGTTTATAAACATACCCATGTGTTCAAATTACTATATACGTTATGTATTAAAATAAACCATTTATGTAAAGTAGAACGGCAAATGTATTTATTATTTAGCAACATCAATTTAGTCTTTTTAATTTCGTGCTGATAATTATATAGAGAAAAAAGAGATGTTATTCCACAAGACGCAATATGTATGTATTTATTTGCAGCTTATAAAATCGTCTTGGTGCGGGCTGGTGTGGGGACTGTCGGTGTTGGCGGAGGCCAGCATCGGCGAGCTCGAGAACATTCTCTGCGCCGTGCAGACGCTAGCCAGGGTCAGCGGGAAGGTAACTCCGCCATTTCTTTGAATTAATTTCTCAGTGGGGTTTGGGTTCAGCATTTTGCTGTCTATCTGTCAGACAGTGGAGTATTACTATATTATTATTATATATAGGGGTATACTATACTATTTGTAAGTGAGTTTGACATTTGACGAGAAAATTCTTATTGTCTCACTCTCTCTCTCTTTTTAACTTTAAATGCTGCATATTCTAACTTTTAATAATATGAAGTACATCAGCTATTTGTTGGCAAAATTAAACGCGTGAAATAGAAACCGACAGACAGACGGATGCTGGACTGCTTCCTTTTTTATTTATATTGTTAATTGACCTTTAGTATTAATTTATATCATCATCATCATTACAGCCCTTCACAAGTCCACTGCTGAACATAGGCCTCCCCCAAGGTATGCCACAAAGCACGGTCCTGAGCCACCTGCATCTATTGACTTCTTGCATGTCTTACCAGATCGTCACTCCATCTAGTGGGAGGTCGCCCTACACTACGCCTACCGGTATTAATTAATATAGAACATAAAAAGTTACGCATTAGTAAACTGATGTGGCTACGATGATGTGTTTTGGCATAAGATATTCATATTTACAAAGCGATTCAAATAAAAATTAGAGACTGACCTGATGCCATATTATGACGCCATCGCTGTTAATTCTAACCAGTAAGGTAGATTGAGCAAAACATATTTTTGAAATAATGTTTGTTTACAAAAGAGTCATGAACGAAAAAAAATCTGGAAGTAACATTTCAATTTCATCTCTGCATCACTGTCTGAGTACTCATCATTGTCATCGTTACCGTATCTGATGCTTTCCTTTATAAAAATACCTAGAACATGGATTTATGTAGGTGTTTCAAGTATTCTATCGACTAGTGTCAATATTTTAAATTAATATATAAAAATAATTATAAGTTCAATAGATTTGGTAATACTAAGACTCAGTTAAATAAAGCTGAAAAAAAAACGTGATTATAACGCAAATTATTTTCTTTGTAAGCTATACTTTTCAAGTGACAGTTGACAGATCGCGGTCATTCGAGGGCAATTGACGTTCCTTTCTTATTTAAACCGCATTGTACATACATATATCATATCTACACATATAATATACTTGATTATAAATGTTAGAATATTAATTTCTTCTCGAATCACGAGAGCGCAAATTCGACCGTGTTGTGTAGAAATATTTCAACACAAAAACATAGTCATTCAGATGTATAAAGATAAATTAATTTTTTTGTGACAGAAGCATTCATGTATATCATGTTAATCTGTGTAATATCAGAGCAATACAACCATAGAATACTATAATACATACATAATAGAAGGGGGAGTGGGCGGAGCCCGCGTAGCCACTAAAATGTCACTAACATGTCAATTCACTCGTATAAATGTCCACACGAGATGTGTATCGACGTTACAATCGTTTCCAAATTTCGCATGCAAATTATTTAGAAAATGCCAAATTGCACCCTATTTACAAATAAGTATGTATTAAAATTTAAACGACTTTTTTAATAATGGTCTTGAACATTAATCAAAAGTCTAAAATGTGTAAATTTACTCAGTCTGTCAACACAGCGAATCGGGTTTGTAGTAGTGATATTACGACGTTATTGCTTGTGTGTGCTACCGGGGACGCCGATCCTCGTATTAGGTTGACAGCCAATCTATTGTGTATTATAGTATTCTATGAATGCAACGGATAATAAGTTTCGGTTTGAACTTGACCGTCGACGTATTATCGTTATCGTTTTATCGTTTAACTAGGTTTGAAGTGGATTTTGATACGTAAAATTGATGCGATTTTGTGTATTAAGTGTCCGCGCATGTGAATTATTAGTGAAAACTACGAAACAAGTGCTTCGATGATTATATAAACCTCACATTATTTTGATTGCCTAGGCGCTTCGTGGTAGCTCAGATGTTTAGCTCTCGCTGTAAATTGCACGGTACGCGAGCATACCGGGTTCGATCCCCGCCGGCACCAATGAAATTGTTAATTGCAATTTTAAGTGCTGATTTACCACGTGCTCGGCGATGAAGGAAAACATCGTGAGGAAACCCGCGTGTCTGAGAAATAAGAAGAAAATATTTCGAAGACATGTGAAGTTCACTAATACACAATGGGGCAGCGCAGCAGACACTTCCTTGTCCTAAAACCCTCTCAAAAATGAGGAAAGGCCTGTGATCAGCAGTGGGACGTATACAGTCTGTACCTAACAAGGCGCTTTATGAACTTGAGAGAATGTCGTCATCGACTGTTCGCTAGTTTGAGCTATCGTTAAAATCTCCCAAAAAGTACGCAATGTGACGTATCAGCATATTGTAAAGAAAAAATTTATAAAACCAAAGATCTTAATAAAATGAAGACGTGGCTTAAAGGACAAGCATCCAAGCCAAAAATATTTAAATATAAAACGAATAACCAAATTCCACCTCTGTTGACCCCTCAGAACAATTGAATAAATTTGCAAAGAAATACGTCGGCTTCACAGATCGATGTAGCACTTGACAAACCGTGTATATGGCGCAGTTACAGAATTTTTTAATATGTGGGATTTGTTTTTAGTAGAATATTATGTTTATAAAATGGCAACATATAAAAATAAAAAAATGTCGAGCGCGTATGTTTTTGTTCAAATTTCAACGTCACGTATTGACCTGAAAAGCCAACGTAGTTCTTTGCAAATTTATTTAATGGCGCTATTACTATTGCGATATAGGTTCTACACATTAGTTGACAGCGCCTGGTTATGAGAACCAAAAAGAAATATTATTGACCATGGTCTGACCACAGGTCGGACGGAACAGACCAGTGTTTTAATGTCGGAATCTGAGAGGTTAAAAAAATTGAATGTATATTTTGGGAATACTTGTTATTTTTTTATAGAAGGATTTCATACTTAGAAATAAAGATAAGTCAATTATTATATTAGGAATCAATCGGGTACCGGACTACCGGATAATGACGGCATTGTCGAGTAATTAAAAACAACATATTTATTGTGATTTTAATAATTTTGATTTATGGAAGTCGAATTAAAAAATTACCCCTAAATGCATCATATTATTTTAAGGTTTCACAATTATAGTAATTTGCTTTTAATTAACTTTGAGTATTAAATTCACTTTCAATAATATGATGGATAAAGAGGAACTTTATTCATATACATAGTTAATCAGAGACAAATTGTGGTGTAAGAAAGTTAGTTTAGAAAGCAGAACTTGGATCCAGGTCGCCTGTATGTAAACATAAAAAAGTTTATGGGTTGGATCATTTCTGCATAACACGGTCCAATTATAAAATTGTGAATTGGACGTTTTTAATGTGCAATGTGAGGTGGACTATATGTAAGTAGCAACGCGAGTCGTGTGTACCAGTATACTGCAGGCAAATGTCACTTGGAATAAATGTCACCGTACTCACATTGCTTATAGTTACCCTTATATTTCATCAAAGAGAGCTATAATTGGAGTATTGCGCGTGTGAAAGCTGTGCTCACGTGTGTGGTGTGCAGACGGGCGTGACGAGCGCGCGCGACGCGTGCGTGGGTGCGCTGTGCCGCTGCGCGCTGCCGGCGCAGTACTGCGTGCCGGCGCTGGGTGCGCTGGGGGCGCTGCACTGCCCCTGGGCTCCGCCGCGTGCGCCAGCCCCCGCGCCCGCGCCTGCGCCTGACTTGCGCCACCACGTCGTCTGGGTCGGCACACCGCTGCCCTGCGCGCAGGTGCCCACCGGTACGTGCAATCCCTCGACACGCTAGCTGCACTCACTTCACCCACTGCACTCGCTGCACTCACTTCACCCACTACACTTGCTGCACTCACTTCACCCACTGCACTCGCTGCACCTCACTATACTTAATACACTAACTACATTTAATACAACCATTACATTTATTACAATCACTACATTTAAAACAACCACTACACCCAATACACTCACTACACTCAATACACTCACTACACTCAATATATTCACTACACAACACTCTCAACATCAAATCACATTCAAGACACTGAGACATGGTTGTTTGCATTACGCGTTAGAACTCACGGGCTTAAACTTACTTAGTCTGTGCCATAAAAAGATAGCATGTACCTTTTTCCACGCACTTCACACCGCCGCCGTATAGATTTTGTTCCCTGTGTCTGTTCAAGCATGAATTCATATTACTCCAATGACAAAAACGTAAATAATAGAATCGATGTCGACGTAGTTGTTCCGGGAGCGTTGCTGAAGCTTTTAATAAGAACTAAATATGTCTCGATGACATTTATTACTATCTCATTAAAATAATGAATTAAAACTAATTCAGTACAATACTGACTTCTTTATCTAGGTTCAAGTCTAAATTACATTACTTCGATGAAGACTATAATTAATTTTATTCTAAATGCAACGGCTTATATATTATGTTCAAAACAAGTCTGTTGACTGAAAGTATGTGACGCCTTGGTTTGACAAGCGATAACAATTATACAGTGGAGTCAGCGTCTTCTTGTAATGTCACTTCATAATATGTTTTCAGTAATCTAATATCAAAAGCTTAATTGGCACAATTCGTGATCAACATGTTATTGTAAAATTATGTCTACTTGCAAATATCATGTTTATGAGTAATCTAATATCAAAACCTTAGGACAATTTAGGATCAACAGGTTGTTACGATGTTACGGCTACATTCGGACTGTATGACTTCGTTTGTTCAAGAACTAAAAATTCAAAACAAAAACAAGTTCTCAGATATGGAAGATGATGGTATAAAACTTTCTTTTCGAATTACAATTTAATTTTAAATCTGAAGTTTTGAGCAGGATTTTAAATTGTGACTACTATAATGATTTCTTATATTTATGCGAACACTACATTTTTTACTACACAATTGTGACTACCATTTAAAACTAAATGGTCCATTTTTTTAAAGTGTTATTGAAGAATTTAAAGTTGATAATAAAAAATAATGTATGAGTATATTAAAATATAAATATATACTATAAACATTGAGCTATTATGTACTACGTACTAGAGGCGACACTGCATTCAGCTACTATGTTCCACTCAACTGCGGTGCATATACCGCACTTTAATCAGTCACTTGCTAGGCGCTTGTAGAGTTGTCACGTGTTGTGTTGATTTAAAAAAAATCTCTTGATAAAAATATGCCGTCCTGTGTACTTAGATATTGCTCAAATAATTCAAGAAATGTCAGTAAAAACCAAGAAATTACTTTCCATCGGTTAATAAGATACTTAATCAATAAAAAGTATTAATAGATTAATAATAAAACAAATTATTCCTAAGACGCCATTTCGTGTCATGGAATATAGATTATGAAATTAATATATTCAGATGCGACATTTTTGTGGGTACTAAAGTATAGGACAATTATATTATTATACACATTTTTTTTTGTAGAAACATATATAAATTATTATAATTAAGCTTATTTTTCATGTTTATATCTGCTTATTATTCTTTTATTTTATTTTTAGGTTTCCACATCAAAGTCAAAGTGGAATAAATTCGTCCATAATTAATTCTCGCGTGCCCAGCATTTATGAAAGATTCTTATTCTAATTTAAATAAATATATTTGTAATTTAAATGTTATGTTAATAAGTTTTGTTAAACATATATTTAGTATATTTTTTATATTTGACCTTTTAAAATATTCAGATAAAAATATCATTAAAATGTAATTGTGATATAATATTATGTAATATCATATTAAATAAGCAAATATAATATACAAAATAAATGACAAAATTTAAATATTGTTCTCGATATAATTTACCTATTTAACAATATAATCTACTATTACCTATGGATCATTCTACCTATGTTTATTCTATGATAAAAAAACCAACCGCGCGAACACAGAGTAGCGCACATTTTTTGTTTGAGATAGCTGTTCTAGTACGTAAGTACATATTACTTCAATGACTATAAATAAATATAACATACACATAAAACATAAACACTCACGCCTGTCACCCAGAGGGGTAGGCAGAGACTACAGACTTCCATTTGGCACGATCCTGACACACCTCTCTCGCCTCCTTCACATCCATACACCTCCGCATACATGCTCGTCGGTTAAGGGTACTCCTAATTTGGCCCGTTTTCAATAAATCGCCAATTTGGTCGATAAATTTTTGCCTAGGACGTCCCTTTCCGACTCTGCCATTCACTTCTGCAACATAAATTTTCTTTGTCACTCTTTCCTCATTCATTCTTTTCACATGACCAAACCACCGAAGCATTCCTTTCTTAATCCTGGTCACAACATCATCTTGCAAACCACACTCTTCTCTTATTACACAATTTCTTACCCTGTCATTAAGATTCAGCCCTAACATACTTCTTAACGACCGCATTTCTACTGCGTTCATTCTACTCTCGTGCTTCTTCTGCCACACCCAACTTTCACTACCATACGTTAAAGTAGGGACCAACACAGCATTGTGAATTGCCATACGTGCCTTTTTCGACACATTTTGACTCTTCACAATAGAGTGCAGGGCCCCATTTACTCTATTTCCCGCATTCACTCGTCGTTCTATATCCTTATCATATCTCCCATCCCTGCTATATTAATATAAAAAGTGGTTTCTGCGTTTTAATCTACCAGGACAACAACAATCGTTCGTGATGGTGACGTCACGTCACGTGACAGCTATGAAAGCCCTACTTAACGCTGCACGAAGAGATGGCGACACTATTCAACAAGCATGGTTACCAGTCCTCACCACGCTTCAACATCTGGTAAGTTTTAACGAAAATATTTGTTGTAATATATTATAACTAAAGAATTATTTTAATCCATTAGATAAAGGAATTTAATTTCATAACCGGTGTATTAATAATTAAATACATATATTATTTGGTCAAAAGGTTAGAACATTTTTCAATCACAAGCAGAAAGAAAATTTTTATAAAATATTGTAATTAAAATTATTTGGAAGCTAAAAAAATTAGGTTGTAACCTTAATTATGTAGTATGTGCTTGGTCCACAAAAAGTATTAGTTACGTGGTAATATGTGGAGTGTGGTGGTGTACATAATATATTTACTGCCGAAGCAAGTACTTGCTTGGCTTGCTTGCTTGCTTGGTAGTTACGATCCCCGCCGTCACCAATGAAATTTTTAATTGAGATTTTAAATGGTTATTTACTACGTGTTCAGCGATGATAGAAAACCTAGTGGAGTAACGTGCATGTCTGAGAAATGAAAACCTTTGAAAGGCATGTGAAGTCCGTTGACACGTATTGAAGCAGCTCGGCGGTCTAATTCCTACAAAAAGCAGTCATAAATCATAAAACGCTTGTGCCCAGCTGTGGGACATTGGGAGGCTATTATTATAGCTGGTTTACATGGTAGAGCCATACTGCAGCCATATTATGGTTGTACCACAAATGGGTCGGCTCGGCCGGAAAGGGACCACACTCTCACAGAATGTCAATGATGCTGCGTTTCGTATGACGAGTGTAGAGAACCAGAGACCCTTTTTTATTGAAAACGAGACATTCCATCTTAGTCTTTAGGGGTGACAATGCATCTGCGTTTTGATTTTCAATCGAGGATGCACTTACCGTTAGGTGGACTGTGGTGTGCACGTTTTTCTTGTCACCCTTATTCTATAAAAAAAAATACTATTATTTTCTTTTGACGACTGTTGCGCTCTTAACCATACAAAATGATGTGACGGGTTATCATGGTTGTCATTGGTTCCGCGTGGCTCAGGTTTGGATTCTGGGGCTGAAGCCGTCGACGGGCGGCAGCATGAAGGCGAGCCGCGCCAGTGCGGACGCCAACGCGGTCATGAGCACCTCTGCCGTCATGGCCGACCTACCCGGTAACACTTAGTCTTGATTCACTTAGCTTTAGCATTACCTTAAGAGAAACTATATTTTGGTAAAAAGTAAAACAATTTATTAATTCTGTAATGGTATTATTTGATTTTTAAAGACACGTGAAATGAACACTTTTGAAACACATTTTACATCGTAATTAAAGCTTCGAAGTATGTGTTTCTTTAAAGTTATACATTGTTTTTAAATAAACTATACTTTAATAGTATTTCACTCATTTTATTAGTTATTATAATATTAATATTGTTGTATTGAATATAAACCTCAACGTCACGCACGACCTCACATGAATCGTATACGAGGGCGGCACTGAAAATTTCGGGAATCAAGGAAGTGACACAACATTACTATTTAAATTTGTATTTATTGCTTTTCGAAGTATTCTCCGCGAAATTTGACACATTTTTCCATACGATGGAACCAATCATTGAAGCAACCATTCCATTCGGAAGTTGGGGTCCCCAAAATGTCCATTTTGTAGGCGTCCACAGCTTCTTCAGGTGATGAAAATCTCTGTCCACACAATTTATTCTTTATTTTAGGGAAAGTATAGAAATCATTAGGGCTTAGGTCGGGGCTCTACGGCGTATGGTCTAATAATTCTATGTTTTCTTGCTCTAAAAACTCTTTTGTTCTGTGTGCGGTGTGAGAACTCGCATTGTCGTGATGGAGGATGATGCGGCGGTTGCAGTTCTCTTTACGGAGTTCAGAAACGACTTGTGGCAAACAAATGCTAGCATACCATTCTGCATTAACCGTTCTTTGTCCCTCAAGAGGAATAGTCGTAACATTCCCGGTTTTGGTGACAAACGTGGCCACCATTTTTTTTTTGCAACACTCCGTAAACGAACAATTTTTGTGGGCTTTAACTCATTTTCGAACACACAAACTCGTGACTGGTTTTTTGTTTCGGGTTCGTACGCGTATATCCAGGATTCATCACCTGATACGATGTTGTATATAACATTTGAGGATCCTGCGTGGAAACTTTCGAGAGTTTTGACGCACCAAGTAACGCGAGCCGCTTTTTGCTCTTCACAGAGCGAATACGGTATCCATCGGGAAAACAACTTTTTTACACCTAATTGTTCATGCAAGATTATTTGTATTTGACTCATGCCAATGTCTAAAGTTGCTTGAATTTCGCGGTATGTCACATGTCGATCTTCCTCAATCATCTTACGCACAGCATCAACGTTTTCTTGGGTGACTGCAGTTTTTGGATGACCTTGACGGGGATCATCACTGAGCTTGACACGTTCGCGTTGAAATTCAGCATACCATCGATAAATTGTGGTTTTGGATGGGGCATGATGCATCACCAAATGCAGAAATCATCCGGTCAACACAATGTTTTGTCTTAAACCACTTCGAAAATCATAATAAATCATCGCTCTTGAATTTTCTCGACTCGATTCCATTTTCTCAACGACTAAACAAGTTTGACAAAACCTTGTGACAAGACCGAGAATCTTTTTTTAAATAAATAAATGGTATTCGATTTTTAAAACCAAGGAGTTTTCAATTAAAAAGATTTTAATATGATAGGAACAGTGGAAATATTCCATTCCCGATACTTTTAGTGCAGCCTATGTAATAATGTAATTATCGCATCTCAGATTAAGAAAGAAAGATAGACGGCGTTACGTGCATTTTAACTCAATTTCTTAAACGCACTCACACAGTGTAATGATTTTCGATGTGTATGTGTACGTGAATGCGTTTTTACAATAAATTGTACATGGTTTTGGTTTGGGTTTTACGTCACTTGAACTGCACGCAGCATTCAGTTTTTCCTTTTTTGTTTATCTTTAACCGCACAACTATTTATTTCATTTTAAAAAACGTTCTTCACTTTTTTCGGTTTCAAACGTTACTTAGGTATAAAATTGTTTCTTAAATTACTTAGTGTATATTTTATTGTTAAAACTTCAAAATATAATAAAAATTCCTTTTTGCCAACCTACACAAAAATCGTGTTACACATACACAAAAATCGTTTTCCACTTACTGAATGCGTACGGGAGTAACTTCGATATATTATCATTGATTCAGGTTGTTAGTTTATCATATAATTTGTTTTAAGTCTTGTATTCCATGTTTTGCAGGTCAGCAAGTTCCTGTCGCGGAGTCGCTCGGAGTTATGAGCGGTACATTTTGATGATTAGTATATTTATGTCCATTTGGAATCGTTGTCGTTTTTAAATAAAACTATTTTAATTATAACACCCCTTATAATATTAAGTGTTAATAGAAATAGGTTATAGTACTACTTATAATGTTATGTGTTACTAGAATAGAAAATAGGTTAGGGCTCTTAAGAAAGATCCTACTCGTTTTTAAAAGGCCGGCAATGCACCTGCAATTCAACCTACCGGCTACCTAACTTAATGTTGCAGTGGTTCAAAGGCGGCTGTAGGCTCTTAAGTATCAGGTGAGCCGCATGTTCGATGCTCTCACTTATATAAAACAAGTATTGTAATTAAATAAACACGTTATGAAACTTGAATTGAACTTTAACGTGTATCGTGTTAAAATGTTATATGTTTGGAACAGAATAAAAGAAAAAGCTGTATTGTGTTATATATGTTAACCGATTTTTAGTGATATGATTATCACTAAATAGCATAAAACAATCACTTATCCAGGTCTTGTGATCGCTTAAAAGAAAACGAATTTTTGTGATCAAGTCTTAAAACGCGCTGAAGAATCGCACACTTTCGAAACCGCGGAAAGTCACTAGTATTTTCTTTATCTACATCCGATAATAAAAGTTTGGTCTGGAAAACTCTTTAATTTGTTGCGACAAGCAAATAATTACTACTTGATGTAATATTTAATTACATATACTATAATCGTAATATGTTAGTTTACTTGCTAATTATTATTAATGAAAATAAAAATTCTTAATAGGATAATGAGATCTCTTCGTCTCAATCTTTTCACTGTTTTTTATCAAACCTTTAACGATTCCAAATAGATATAACCTCACAATAGCGCTGGAAGTTTTAAATAATAGGTCGGGGGAAAAGTTTTTTCGTAATTTGTTTGTACAAAATTGAAAAAATATATCTTCTGTTGTACACAGATTACAAAAAAGGGAAAAATGTGACTCAAGCGCGAAAAAAATTTGTGACGTTTATGGATATCGTTGGCCAATTAGCAAAATTTGAGAGAGCTTGGCTGGAAAGTATTAATGCATCCACCAAATAATCCTGACCTTGCACCCTCAGATTTTCACCAGTTTCAGTCTCTTCAAAGTTCTTTCAGGAGAGGACTCTCATAACTTGTCGCATTTTTTTGATCAAAAGTCCTAAGATTTCTACAGCAACAGGGTTATGTCACTACCTACAAGAAGGCAACAAGTTTTCGAACAAAGTAGCACAATAAATATTATAATTAAATGTAATTACTCTTTGAAAAAAAATGTCTTGAATTTGTATATAAAATACGAACAAACTTTTTCCCCGACCCTTCATTATGACTGTCATTGCAAAATGGACCTTATAATGTGGTACAAGAGTCTATTAAGAATGACAGTTATGATAATTAAACAATACTTGAAAAGCGCTCGTGTGAATTGCAGGGTTGTGAGCTTTTGTCTGTCTACCGCGTGCACTGGGATGGAGCTTGCTGGCCGTTCTTGTTATTTAGTGGTTTTTTGTTCACTTTATGCACTGTTTTATTGCATTTATACACGTAACAGAGAGGATGTTGGATAATTTTATGAGAAGTCTAAGTAGTTTATTTTATCTTTTTGCTCGTAATGTTGATTATTTATATTTAACACTATATTTTGAGTTTTGCTATAGATGCATTAACGTGGCTTTCGGTAGAGGACCTTTAAAAAAAGTGTTACAAACAGCCCACTCGTGTTAAGTGGTGGCTGTAGTCTATAGACATCTACATCTATCCTCGATTATTAATGAAAATAATGAAAGCGTGTAATTATGCTGGCTCCCTCCGTCAGACCCTCCTTCAGTCCGGAACACAGCTACGCAAGCACTGCTGGTTGGCGGCAGAAGTAGGTTGTAGGGTGTATCCTTGACGGACTCCTTGGCAAAATAGGAGTCCTACCACCTGGTAAATAATAAAATTAAAAATTATGCAATGTCAATCTTTTAAATACAATATGGAACTATCGTCCAATAGAGCTTACTATGCACGTTTTATTCGTGGTAGAGCCACGCTGCGGCTATATTATGTTAGTAGCACGAATGGATCGGCTCGACCGGGGAAGGACTACGCTCTCACAGAATGTCAATGCTGCTGCGTTTCATATGGTGAGTGTCCTTACACTCACCATAAGAAACGCAGTGACTGGTTCCCTAACCAGAAACCCTTTTTACTGCAAACGAGGCGTTCTAACTTAGTCCTCAGGGGTGACAACTCATCTGCGTTTTGATTCTTGATCGAGGATAAATATAAATATCTACGGGCCACAGCATCCACTTACCATTAGGTGGGCTATATGCTCGTTTGTCACCCTAATTCTATTTAAGAAAACGTATGCCACGGGGGATGCTTGTGAACTTTTGATAATGCTCTAAGATATGCATTATTATGTTACTGTGTGTACTTTAATAAGACTTTTTCACTACAGAGGCTAGTTTTACCTAATAATCTCTGACTAAATCATTATTTATTCGTTGTTTATCTTAAATAAGTGATATATTATTTAAATAAAATACGATACGCTTAATAAAAACCACTTCACCGCGCATACATGCTTTTATTCATATTATATTTGTCGTAGACACACCTCTAAATAAGTATCTCTGCCTACCACTATGGTTGACAGACGTGGAATTTAGTTTTATGTTATTATTTATATTTTTATACTTATAGTTTATAATGATGTTTATAAATAAAAATACTTATTTTGGCTTACATCGAACTCTGTTGGCTATTTTTTTGTTTTAGGTAACCAACCTTCCAATTTTTGAAACGTGGGTGGAGGTTAGGTTCAAAAACATTATGCTTTGTCTAGGAGTAATAAAAGTCTATATTTATCACCCTCTTAGATCTTATAGTTACTTTTCTTGTCGGCATTCCTTTTACAACAGCATATAGTTGGTGTTTTTGCTTTATCAGTTCAATGTATTTATCTAAAAGCTATACGCATTAACAAAACAAGATTTTTTTTATTTTCAGCGTTATCTGCAATGTTGTCAAGAGTGTTCGAGTCATCCAAGAACCTAGACGACGTGGCACTTCATCATTTGATTGACGCGCTTTGTAAACTGTCTAATGAGGCAATGGAACTAGCATATTCTAACAGGGTACTGCAGTTTGTTTTAAATTGAAAAGCTATAGTTTGTATAATAAGTTAATTAAATAGTATAATATATATAATATAATATTGGGAAATTCACAAAATAAATACTGTTTTGATTAACTTGACAAAAAATGAATAATAGTAAATAAAAATATTTTGTATAAGTTTTAAAGTTATTTTTGCTGACGGTGCATAATAAAACGCTATTTCAGGAACCATCATTGTTTGCGGTAGCGAAACTACTGGAGACAGGTTTAGCCAATATGCACAGAATAGAAGTCATGTGGAGGCCTATCACGAACCATCTATTAGAAGTATGTACACATAATAATAAACAAAAATAATGACTAATAAATTTACAAAGTTAGTATTGTTTTTTAAGCAATTATTTTATATAAGTATAGTTTATGGTATAAATGGAAATATACCAACTTTTTCTCCTAATATGCTAAGTCTTGATGATCAACGGACGAGGCGCTGACGACTGGCTGTTGCCGAAAAATCCATTCTTAAACTCTGGATCCAAATAACACAGACTGGTGATGCAGACCAGCATTACCGCACGGGTAATCAGAATATCGACCAGAGTTCCAAAGTTTTTTTAGGCTAAGCGGAATTTTTAAGTAAGAAAGCGAGATTGGTTACTTTAAAAAAATCTTACATATTTAATTCGCTATTGGGTGGCCACGTTAAGTCACGGAATTACTTAATAATTTGTTTTTAATATTCCTCATAGCTGTGAAAAGTATTTGAAATGAGCCACATTTTTAATTTCTTTTTAAAACTGAGTGCTACATTATGCTCCCATTTATAATATTACAATTAATTTAAGAGTAAATCTTAAGTGGTGTTTGCTAGCTGCCGCATCTTTGAAATCGTATTTACAGTAGAAGAGATACAAAACACTGTGGATTCAATGATGTATATTATTAATAATATACAGATGTAGTATATAAATAAATTTATAAGTAATCAATTTTATTCACAATTCCATGGTCTACCATTTTAGGTGTGTCAACACCCGCACATACGCATGCGAGAATGGGGAGTGGAAGCAATTACATACCTCGTCCAAGCGGCCTTCCAGTACCATCATAATAATCCGGCACTCGTTACGGAGGTTTGTTAAGTATTTTTTTCTGCATGGAGTGGTAAATTGATTGGAATTTAAAAGAACATACTCAGACATTTTCATCTTATTATTATATTAAACGTTGTGTGGCGGCGGGTAAAGAGAATCCATCGGCCCGTTTCGTCCCGCGGTTTTCGTGAGTGGCAACGGCAGGTCAAACATTTCGTGTATACATGATGTCGCCTCATGTGCCCGGCCATTTTATTTTTTTACTCGCCAAGTGTGAGGAGCTGTACGGGAAGTCGCCCGATAGTAGCAGTGATATCTTTTTAATTTTGTATACCGGCTATATATAAAACTTATACTTATCGAATCGTTATAAATTAAGTTATTTAATTGTAAATTTATCACACATCTCAATACATTTTTTTGCAAACTACAATCTTAAAACATATCTCCTTTTACGCGGCAAAAATGCTTATGACGCCACATTACGCCCTTGTCCTTAATCGATTAGAAAATCTAAAAGATTAGAATCAGAAACAAACAGTGTTTGCTTTTTAATTTAATAGCGAATCGTAATTACTTGCCGATGGGCACACGAGTTCGGCTAACACGTCGGCATGCATAAGCTGTCAAACACATTACGTTGACATACGTTACACGCTTTGATGTGTATCACAAAACTAATTGTAAGTTGAAATTGTTGGTAAAACTGTATGGTTATATGCAAATACTTCCCTGCATTTATGTATTGTCTCGTTGGACTAGTGATCATAAGTACGACTGCTGGTCAAGTGGCCCCGATTTTGAATCCCTGATCGTGCTAAAATCTTATATTGGTATTTTTGTCAAGAAATTCTCAGTAGCAGCCTAGAGTCAGTAAGTTGTTAGTGTTTCCTTGGAAAGTACATAAAGCCGTTGGTCTTGTACTTGATTTCTCCGAACGTATCGCATTTCTGTCCCATCAGATTATAAAGTGATGTAATAGCGTGCAACCATAGGTGCGCTGTGTTTGCGCACCTTTGTGCAATATTAACGCTGTCATGAGCAATCCGTTAAGATTGACCACTAGAGTGGGGTTTTTCTTCTTTTTTTTAACTCCCCCCTCCTTTTTTTTTTTTTTTTTTTTTTTTTTTTTAGTTTTTTGTTTTTTTTTTTTTTTTTATTTTATTTAAAATTTTAAAAAACAAAAAAAATTTTTTTGTGGGGGGGGGGGCCCCCCTAAAAAAATCTCCTCTCCTCGAGAGAAAAATACACTTTTCGGCGTTTTCTGTGACCGAAATTCGAGATGAAAATCAGCACCTGTACTTGTGGGTGATGGCTACGGCACGGTTGCGCAGGCGCGGCAGCGGCTGCTGCTGGAGCCGCTGGCGGAGCTGTGCGGCGTGCGGCACTGCGACGTGCGCGCGCGCCAGCTGGAGTGCGCCGCGCGCCTGCTGCATTCGCGCGGCGAGCAGCTGGGCGCCGCCTGGCCGCTCATGCTCGATATCATCTCCGCCGTCTCTGAGCGACACAGGTGCGTCACGCTACACACGTCATTCGCACTCATGAACTTCAATGAGACTAAATTAACAGTTTTACAGATTTGTATAATATTTGTGTGATATTCTTTAGTCTACTCAAAATATTTATTTACTTTTAATGAAAAGTAAAGGATGATTTAAAAAAAATAAAGTACTTATAAAATAAAATCACGTTCTGAAATGTGGGCTCGAATTTTTCTATAAAGTATATCTTAGCACTGACTGTGTATGTGAAATTATTTTATTATTTTTAGTTCTTTGGATTTATATTTTTTCTTTTAAATTTACTTTCTGTAGTCGTGCACGCTTATATAAATTATTACAATGCATGGGAATGTATTTATTTTTCGGTGCGTGCGTGTGATCGGTACCGTCATGCGGTGCTTGTGATGGTGGTGCGGGCGGGCGCAGTGAGCAGCTGGTGCGGTCCGCGTTCGCGTGCGCGCAGCTGGCGGCGGGCGACCTGCTAGGTTGTGCGGGCCCGCGTTGCCTGCGCCGCGTGCTGTCTGCCGCCGCCGCCTTCGCGCGCCAGACCAAGGACCTCAACATCAGCCTCACCGCCGTCGGACTCATGGTACCGCACACCTCCATACCACACACAAACACCCAAGTACTTTATCCAGGTAGCAACTATTATATTATTATTAGGTATTATAGCGAGTAAACAGGACGAGTAGCGTGTGCAGCAAGACGCACATATTATATGAACTACTTACGATCCGTCCCGGCACGTATGATTTCTAGATCTCGACAACAGCGCCACCTGTTAGATTCAAATGTAAGTCTAAACCAACTAGAGATCCATTCAAACACAAAAAATTTCATCAAAATCGGTCAAACCTTTTTTAAATTTTTGCCGAGACTAACGGACAGCAATTGATTGTTATACATAGGCTGCACTAAAAGTATCGGGAATGGAATATTTCCACTGTTCCTGTCATATTAAAATCTTTTTAATTGAAAACTCCTTGGTTTTAAAAATCGAATACCATTTATTTATTTAGAAAAGATTCTCGGTCTTTCACAAGGTTTGGTCAAACTTGTTTAGTCGTTGAGAAAATGGAATTGACTCGAGACAATTCAAGAGCGATGATGTATTACGACTTTTGAAGTGGTTTAACACAAAAACAGTGTGTTTACCGGATGATTTCTGCATTTGGTGATGAAGATCCATCGAAAACCACAATTTATCGCTGGTTTGCTGAATTTCAACGTGGACGTGTCAAGATCAGTGACTCGTCAAGCCCCGTCAAGGTCGTCCAAAAACTGCAGTCACCCAAGAAAACGTTGATGCTGTGCGTAAGCTGATTGAGGAAGATCGACATGTGACATACCGCGAAATTCAGGCAACTTTAGACTTTGGCATGAGTCAAATATAAATAATCTTGCATGAACAATTAGGTGTAAAAAAGTTGTTTTCCCGATGTATACTGCATTCGCTCTGTGAAGAGCAAAAAGCGGCTCGCTTTACTTGGTGCGTCAGAACTCTCGAAAGATTCCACGCAGGATCCTCAAATGCTGTATACAACATCGTATCAGGTGACGAATCCTGTATTTACGCGTACGAACCCGAAACAAGAAACCAGTCACGAGATTGGGTGTTCGAAAATGAGTTAAAGCAAAAATTGTTGTTAGAAGTGTTGTAAGAATGGTGGACGTTTGTCTCCAAAACCGGCCATGTTACGACTATTCCTCTTGAGGGACAAAGAACGGTTAATGCAGAATGGTATGCTAGCATTTGTTTTCCACAGGTCATTTCTGAACTCCGTAAAGAGAACTGCAATCGCCACATCATCCTCCATCACTACAATGCGAGTTCTCACACCGCACACAGAACAAAAGAGTTTTTAGAGCAAGAAAACATAGAATTATTAGACCATCCGCCGTACAGCCCTGACCTAAGCCCTAATGATTTCTATACTTTCCCTAAAATAAAGAATAAATTGCGTGGACAGAAATTTTCATCACCTGAAGAAGCTGTGGACGCCTACAAAACGGCCATTTTAGAGACTCCAACTTCCGAATGGAATGGTTGCTTTAATGATTGGTTCCATCGTGTGGAAAAATGTGTCGAATTTCGCGGAGAATACTTCGAAAAGCAATAAATACATTTTTAAATAGTAATGTTGTGTCACTTCCTTGATTCCCGAAATTTTCAGTGCCGCCCTCGTATATAGAGATTATATTGGCCGAGTCAGTCGAGAACGTAAAATTCCGAAAACGCATTGGAACAGCGCTGCAGATACTTCCCAGCCCTCAATATCTCAGAAATTAGAAGAGGACTTTAACACGATACGTATCGTGCCTTTTTTTGGGATTTGTTATATTTACTTTGACTTAATCACCATAATGCTATCATATTGCATATGGATTCACACGACCTCGAAATATTATTTTGTATTTTCTTAAACATGTATTCTCAAAGATGTCGTAAACCGACATTTAAAATTCCCGTAAACACATTAATGTCAGTAAAGATTAAACTCGCTAAATTGAATACTAATGCCTAGCCCCTTATCTACTACTATTATTGAGAATATATGGAATTAGTTACATTGCATATTGGAATACTTGTTACTTTAATGTTTTACAAATACTACATTTTACAAGATAAAGTCCCAACTCTTTTAGAATTTGCAATTGCAATATGCATTGCAATAATTTTTTTGTTTAAAAAAACGCTTCACTATTATTTTTCTCCACCATTGTTACAGAAAGATTAGAAAATTCTATTAATAGATGCATATAAAACACCAGTTACGCAAATAAAGTTTGCATTTGACCAACTTTTTATTTAATAACTGCACATTCATGATATTTCACTCAATGTTTTATTTATTAACCGTAAGCAAAAATTTAGACCATTTTATGTTTTTAGAAAAATTTATTTACAAAATTTTAAATTTTCACCAGTGGAACATATCGGACTACCTGTACCACAACCGGGACAAGTTGTGCGGCGCGTTGGCGAGCGATGCGGCCGTGTGTCCCGAAGTGCCCAACCACGCCGAGCTACCACCACTCGACAAACTATGGATGTGCCTCTACATACGACTCAGTGAGTCATAATCATTTACTTGTGAAACAACTAATTCAATTCTTCATCCTGAGTTGAATATTAATGTTGGTTAAAATCTAGCTCGAAGGACCATGTATTGTGATGTTTTCATAGTTTATAGTAGTGGTGGATATATGGATGTGAAAGAAACGAGAGAAGTGTGTCATGAACGTGCTAGATAGAAGTCCGTAGTTTTTGCCTACCCTCCTGGGTGACAGATGTAAATGTTCATGTGTTTTTATTAATTAAAATTAAGGTGACAAACGAGCACATTTCAGTTCATCTAATAGTAACTGGATGCTATGGCCCATAGACATCTACGTCTATCATCGATTAAGAATCAAAATGTAGATGCGTTGTCACTCCCAAGGCTACTAAGATAGAATGTCTCGTTCCAGTGAAAATAATCTCCGGTTCTCTACATTCATTATATGAAATACAGCAGCATTAATCAGCATATTTGACACTGATTTTCTGTGAGAGCGTGGTCCTATCCCGGTGGAGTCAATCCATTCGTGCTATATCCATAACATAGGCACAGCGTGGGTATACCAAGTATAAATAGTGACACGAGTTGTTAGCACAACCTTGACATGCGTAGCAGTCGATTTATTGGTCTCTTTGGTGAAGTACAAAGGAGCGAGGTCGGTACGGTGAATTGTTTCACGTGTTTGGTGCGTTAGATGATCTTCGTCATTCATTGGATATTCACATGATGATCGCCTACAGTATACAAGTTGGAAAATGTATTAAATGCTGTGACTTTGTAGTAACGATAATCGCCGCTATTCACATATACAATAAGGTGGATAGTTAAGAAAGGGTTGGTGGTGACAGGCTCGCTGTGCACGGAAGCGCGTGCGCCGGTGCGTCGTGCTGCGAGCCAGACGCTGTTCAGCTGCGTGGGTGCGCACGGCTCGCTGCTGTCTCCGCCCGCCTGGCGCGCGCTGCTCAACGTGCTCTTCCCCATGCTGGACGAGGTGCGTGACATTCCATACATCTGTTTATACATACAAACATCCATCGATCCAGACGCTACTCAGCTGCGTGGGCGCGCACGGCTAGCTGCTGTCGCCGTCTGCCTGGCGCGCGCTGCTTAACATGGTCTTCCCTCATCCATACATCCATTACATACAGCCAAAGATTTCAGTATATACTACTAGACGGGCTCTGCGGCCATTGCGTATTGAGTTGCGCTCAATTTTCCGTTCTGATCTTATGCGCGGCAACTAGCAGCCTACAATGTTCGCCATTATTGACGAATATATATATCTTAACAAAAAAAACTATTTTACTACAAAACATGTGTGATTATTTTTGTAACACTTAATCCCAATTGTATGTTATGAAGGTCCAAAAACAATCGAACATTGCAAGCTCGGAGAAGGTGGATACCGGAGAGCACATACTTATTCATCACACCAGGAATACTGCTCAGAAGCAGTGGGCTGAGACACAGGTAAAAAAAATTACACACTTTTGCACTAGGAATTTATTTTTAAGGTTAAAATTGTTAATTGCAAAGTTCACTTGCATAATGAAGAAAAATCATCATGTAATACTAACATGCCTATCAAAAATTATAATTGCAAAAAAATATTTGAAATAAGGGATAAATATGCCTTATAGCGGGTTATATAATAATTTAAAATAGCAGGTTTTTATAACGGTTTAAAGCCAAAGGCAATTACGTCAATACAGCCTTGCTGACAATATTTTTTTTTTACAATATAATGCGTACTATTCATAGTTATTGGAAGATTTTAACGACAGCTTAACCCAACGGACAGTTTATGATTATGGATCTAAATGCACTCCATTACAGTAACAAAATTAAACTGTCTTACTGAAATTGTACAACAGTAGACATTGTATATTAATCAAATGTCATGTTAACAGGTTCTGACACTGTCAGGCGTATCGCGCGTCTTCCACTCGCGTTTTCAACTGCTGATGACCGTTGGAGATTTCAACCGCAACTGGACGGCCTTACTGCACTATATCACAGATTTTGCACTACATAAAAGTCATGAGGTAAATACAATGTTTTTTTATTTATTAAATATAAAAACTAAGTCCAACTTTCCTTTCTCCACCAGCCATTAGCAGCCCACTTCTGGCTATGAATTTGAGGAGACCTATACGAGGACAAACAAAAACGCCAGTTATTAGTGTATATACCTTTATTATAATGAACATGCATATAAACAGGCACACGCATCACTCACATTAAAGTTATTTACCGAATATAACTAACAATGAGCTTTTTATCTACACACATATACTTGACATAATTGAAAAACCTTTGTTATGATAAATTTATATTGTTTTAATTATCACACACGTACATAAGGCGCAAGCGCCCTGCGCCGCCTAAAGCCTAAACGAAACAGCAGGCGCAGGCATACATTTTCGCCGCGCCGTAGAAAGAAAGGGGGATACTTCCTCTCCTACGCCGCGCCGGCTGTCTCTCTCTCTCTCCATCCGTCTTACGAATTTTCGATCAGGGTCACGTGTCCTGACGCGAGTTTAACATTTTTTACCCATTACAAAAAAGTGTACAACGCCGCTAAAGAAGTTTTCACTTCAAAAATTGTATTTTTGATGAAGAAAGTGGTTTCGACCAATTGCTATATTTGTCACATTATAGGTGTCCAACATGTGCTAGTAGAATGTGTCAAATATCAGAGGGAAAGGGAGAATTTGGTGCAAAAATTTAATATTAATTTGTGTAAAACGGGTTGGTTTTTGAGTATACTGGCGGAGCCTACACACGACTTTTCTTATTCTTTCCATATTCTTACCACATTGATTACCTCTTTCTAAATACCTAATTAGATTTTGTGTAACAGTAAAAAGGTATGTTACGACAAGGCTGAAATATCCTTAGATAGATAATTAAAAAAATTACACATACAAATAAAATTGAAATAATCGTTTTTTATTTGAAATGATGGGGAATTTTGCACGTCGTTAAGACATGAAACTATTTTTAAAACTTTTATCTGTCTGATTGTGCGTGCTAATATTCGGAATTGCTGAACTGTTTGTATTGAAACTTGACGAACGGATAGAAAGCAATGTTAGAAGTGATCTTGGCTATATTTTGTCCGGAAAACTCAGTTTTTCGACAAATTAAACAATGTATAAAATAAATAACCGTTTATGATTATTTTAAACTTAAATTGAAGCCAGGGTGGGTTGTTGGTGTTTAAATAATACGCTAAGCATCGTTTTATTTTGGCAGGTGTCCCTAGCAGCGCTGAAGTCATTCCAGGAAGTAGTGTCGGCTGCGGGCCGCGCGGAGTGCTCAGGGGGCGTTTGGGCGGCCGCCTGGGCCGCCTGGAGCGACATCGCGCAGGGCGTTCAACAGCGCGCAGGTGAGCCCGCCGCTGCGATACATCAGCGCCGACCCAAACACATACATGTATACTGGCTCTGCGGCCTTAGTACATTACCCAAAGTTATGGTCAATTCTCCGTAACTTTTTATCGCCGGCCCAAACACACATGCATACTGGTTCTGCGGCCTTAGTACGTTGCCCAAAGTTATGGTCAATTCTCCGTAACTTTTTATCGCCGGCCCAAACACACATGCATACTGGTTCTGGGGCCTTAGTACGTTGCCCAAAGTTATGGTCAATTCTCCGTAACTTTTTATCGCCGGCCCAAACACGCATATGTATACTGGCTCTGTGGCCTTAGTACGTTGCCCAAAGTTATGGCCAATTCTCCGTAACTTTTTATCGCCGGCCCAAACACACATGCATACTGGTTCTGCGGCCTTAGTACGTTGCCCAAAGTTATGGTCAATTCTCCGTAACTTTTTATCGCCGGCCCAAATACGCATATGTATACTGGCTCTGCGGCCTTAGTACGTTGCCCAAAGTTATGGCCAATTCTCCGTAACTTTTTATCGCCGGCCCAAACACGCTCATGTATACTGGCTCTGCGGCCTTAGTACGTTGCCCAAAGTTATGGTCAATTCTCCGTAACTTTTTATCGCCGGCCCAAACACGCACATGTATACTGTCTCTGCGGCTTTGTACGTTGCCCAAAGTTATGGTCAATTCTCCGTAATTTTTTATCGCCGGCCCAAACACGCACATGTATACTGGCTCTGCGGCCTTAGTACGTTGCCCAAAGTTATGGTCAATTCTCCGTAACTTTTTATCGCCGGCCCAAACACGCACATGTATACTGGTTCTGCGGCCTTAGTACGTTGCCCAAAGTTGTGGTCAATTCTCCGTAACTTTTTATGCCTGGTAGTCATGCTGCAGTTATATTAGTGTAGGTATAGTTGTTGCACGAATGGGTCGGCTCGACTGGGGAAAGACCACGCTCTTACAGAATACCAGCGTAAATTATAACATCAATGCTGCTGTGTTTCGTATGGTGAGTGTACAGAACCGGAGACACTTATCACTGGAAACGAAGCATCCCATCTCAGTCCTCAGGGGTGATAACGCATCTGCAGTTTGATTTTTAATTGAGGATAGATGTAGATATCTATGGACCACATCATTTACTTACCATTAGGTGGACTGTGTGCTCATTTGTCACCATAATCTGCGAGCTGGCGAGAACACTAGTACTTTGTTTTATATACCGCAAACTTTGTTTTCAACCGATATGAATTAGTTTTGTCTAATATGACTTAAAAAAAGTAATCATTATTTATGTGCGCACTGTATAAATGATTTAAAGTTTATTTCATATAAGTATTCGACTTCATTTCGTATTGGCTTAAAAAACAGTAACTGTCGTAAATGGAAATACAACTGCGTGGCGTATTTACTGTGCTAGCTACGTGCCCCCCGCGCACGGACCCGCCCCGCCCACGTACGTGTGGTCCGCAGATGTGATACAGTTTTTATACTAAATTGCCGATTTAATAGTGCACGTATAAGTCTACGACGGCGATGTTGTCGTTCATAGCTTAGTGAAATAAATTGCCAGCATCCGTCTTTCCATCCTATTACAATGTGAGTAGTTTCAAGGCAAGAGTGAATAAACAATATACTTATGTAAAATAAGTGCGCTTTACCTTCTTCAGTTGCATCACCAGATACCAGCAGGTGGGATGCTAGTCATGCCCTAGCTTAGAATAATAAAAAACATTACTAAATTGCCTACAGATGTTGGCATTACTAAATATATCTCCGATTGGCAAGTGGTTGCTGTGATCTATAAACACCTATAGCTATTCTCGATTAAAAAAGAAAATGTAGATGGACATCCCTGGGCACCAATATGGAATGTCTCGTCAGTAAAAAAGTTCATCGGTTATCTTTACTCACCATACGAAACACAGCAGCATTATACAGCTACTTTTATTTCTGTGCAAGATTCCAGTCAAGCCAATAGTTTCGAGCTAGAACCATAAAACACTGTAGGGTCTCTAGGTTTTACCGCGTAAAAATCGTATTAAAACCATAATTTTATTCATTAGTTTTCGCTGTGAATTTCTACACATATGAAGTTATGATAGAAGTACACTATGAACAGCGATCGTGTTCTATATCATTAACATTTCATAGATGAAAACATGAAAATGTCAATAATATGCTGATTTTAATTTAAAAAAAATATGAAAAACTATGCTTGATTTTATTTTAAAGTTACAGTACAAGACGAGGAAAAGCCTGCCGAAGTGTATGCGCCCTCACAAAACTTCCTCACGACGCTGGTGCAAATATTCCCTTTGATATTCCAGCACATACGCTCCACGTAAGTGTAAATATAAAACTGTCTTCGATAAATTTTTTAAGCAGTTCAGCGCTCCCGAACGGCTGAACATACACTCTAGTCGTTCGGGAGTCCTGTCACGATGTATTCCAATTTGAAATAGTAAAACTCGGACAACTCGTCAATTCGATAGATGAAGTGACTGTAGGGACACAGTAGTTTTATACATTATACTGAATTGACACTTTGCATTTGTGTTCGGAGTTCGCTTGGCGGCGAACACAGTCACTGCCCACGCTAGGCCGCTACCAAATAGGAAATATATTCTATCGCCCATAGCAAATATCGTAATCTGTAAAATTGTGATTTGAATACAACATCAGTGACTTTTGAGATTTTAATTACTGAACCCGATAGGCACCTTTGGCACCTTCTGTAAGTCATATTGCGGGACTATCAGGCACAAGTATTTAGTACATTATTCATTAACTATAACACAAGCATTTCCTCGCACATGACTAAGGAAATATATGGTAGTTTAGTTATTATTAAAAAATATATTGATATTATTAGCTTCAGCTATTGTTTGGTTTAGTTATTTAATTTGCTTAAACGTGGTATAAAAAAATCAGTGTTCCCGTTGTGACTACTCTAGTAGTTTTATTCGTGACGACGAAAGTCTACACCAGGGTATTCCAACCTTTTTTGAGTCTAGCTTCTTCGGATTATAAATAATTATAATTTTACTTCCCCCCCCCCCATTAATTTTTTACATGTCATATAAATGCACCTTATTTTAACAAACATTTATCTTGATAGAATCAGGATATAATAGAATCACTTTGCCGAATCCATTATAATAAAAATATATAAATTACTTCGCAACCTTCCGCTAACTAAATACAATGATGTGTCTTGCCTGGATTGAAGAGCACTCCCTCAGTTGCATGCACTAACTCCGTCACCACTAGTCCCAGCACCACTACTCCCGGCACCACTACTTCCAACACCACTATTCCAGGTAAGACACACCATCGACGATAATACGACACGTGTTTCGCCTCTACACGAGGCATCCTCAGGTGATGTAGACTCTACGGCGGCTGACCGCTAACCGAGTGACCGCGCCATGCGATAACAAACCTGCGACTAAATATCATTATTGTTATGATTAATATTTTTAAATATTATTATTATTTTATTGATATTATTATAGTTATTTATTATTATTATTTTTAAAATTATTATTAAAGATTAGCCTTAAGGATGTTTAACAAAGGTGAATTAGAATTATTTGTTTGTTCATTCAGCAGTGTATTGTTACCATTATTATTTTTTTAAATCTCCAACTGTTCCACTGTGCTGGGACTAGTGTTGACGGAGTTAGTGCATGCAATTGAGGGAGGGCGGGAGGTGCTCTTCAATCCAGGTAAGACACATCATTGTATTTAGTTAGCGGAAGATTGCGAAGTAATTTATATATTTTTATCTTTTATTTTAAACATTTATCTGTCAATTTTAGCTTTAATTTATACTAAGTAAACTTAGATTTAACGAAGCGAATGATAAACTTTTCTTTAATACTAGTATTGTCAGACAAATGTTTATTTTATTTTATTATTAGTGTTACTGTTCATTGAACTTTTCTGTATCGGCTGTTCGATTCTAGTTCAGTTTTATTTCATTCTTTTTTTTTTGGAAATTGCAAAGCGTGCCGTCTCTCTATTGATCCCCTAAGGAGGCTCTCCTCACTGATTGGGAAATCCTCGTAGACAGAGAAACCTATAGACTAATGATTAGCGTGGCCTCGAGTGAGAAAGGACGATAACGTAGTTTTAGGTTATACAATAATCTTTATGACTTTTAAAAATCATCATCATCATCATTACAGCCATTCACAAGTCCACTGCTGAATATAAGCCTCCCCCAAAGTATGCCACAAAGCATGGTCCTGAGCCACCTGCATCCATCGACTTCCTGCATGTCTTACCAGGTCGTCACTCCATCTAGTGGGGGGTCGCCCTACACTACGCCTACCGGTACGAGGCTGCCACTCGAGAACCTTTCTTCCCCATCGGTTATCGGTTCTTCGAGCTATATGGCCGGCCCATTGCCACTTCAGCTTACTAATCCGTTGGGCTATGTCGGTCACTCTGGTTCTACTGCGGATATCCTCATTTCTAAGTTTATCACGCAGAGAAACTCCGAGCATAGCCCTCTCCATAGCTCGCTGAGCGACTTTGAGCGTCCTCATACGGCCAGCAGTGAAGGACCACGTCTCAGTTCCATATGTCATGACTGGCAACACACACTGGTTGTACAATTTCGTTTTCAGGTTTTGAGGTAAACCTGACGAGAAGATGAAACGTAAATTCCCGAACGCTGCCAGCCGAGTTGAATCCGTCGATTGACCTCTCGGTCGAAGTTGGATTTACCTAGTCAGACTATTTGTCCCAGGTAAACGTACTCGTCAACAACTTCGAGCATAGTGCTCTCAACAAGTACTGGCGTAGGTGTGACATGGACATTAAACATGATCTTTGTTTTGTCCATGTTCATCGTAAGACCTATCCGTTGGGAGGCAATATTGAGGTCATTGAGCATAGCGCTTAGGTCCTCCAGCGATTCTACCATAAGGACTATATCGTCGGCAAATCGAAGATGAGTGATGTACTCGCCATTGATGTCAATACCGTATCCTTTCCAGTCCAGTAGCTTGAAAACGTCTTCCAATGCAGCGGTGAAGAGTTTCGGGGATATAACGTCACCCTGTCTTACACCTCTCTGCAGTTGGATAGGTTTCGAACTCTGGTTCTGTACTCGGATAGCCATCGTAGCCCTACTGTACAAACACTTCAGCACTTCGATATACCGACAGTCAACTTGGCACCGCTGAAGAGACTGTAGCACCGCCCAAATTTCGACGGAATCAAAGGCTTTCTCATAGTCCACATACGCCTCGGGATTGGTGCCACCATGGAGGACGGAATTACAGAGCTTCTGAAGGACTTTAAGTACCGGTGTTCCACCCGCTTTCGGAAGCTCCGCTATAATTCCATCCTCGCCCGGAGACTTGCCGTTTTTAAGGTGCTGGAGAGCCATTCTAATCTCACTCAGACTGACGTCCGGGATATCATCGGAATAATGTCGGATAAGACTTGCTCTTGGATCGTTACTCACACTTGCGTGTGGCTCCAACGATGATGTGTACAGCTGCCCATAGAACCTCTCAATCTCACTCAAAATCTCAGGTGTCCTAGAAACGATGCCGCCACACTCAGTCTTCAGCTTTGACAGTTGGCTCTTACCGGCAGACAGATCTATGGCAAAGACTTTGGAGCCCCGGTTCCGCTCAATCGCTTCTTCAATACGAGCAGTATTAAAGTTGCGTAAGTCTCGCCGCATGCATTTGGAGATCTGTCTGTTCAGTTGCCTGTATGCTGTCTTTTATGTGACTTTTATACATATTTAGATAATTTTTTTAATTGTTTTAAGAACTGATCTGAACAAGATTCACCAATCTCAAGCTCACAAAACACTTTTTTTCTCACTTAAACCAACTTGTAAACTCGTTAGATCGCTAAGAACTGTCAAAGTAGTTTACCAAAGTGTAGTTTGCTAAACAAATAAACCGGCACCGAGAAAGGAACAAACAATCACACCGCTCTGTCCTCATTTCTATGCAAGACGTATGCATAAATCTATCTTTATCGTGTGCGAATGCGAAAGAAGGCGTCAATTTGTCTATAGGTTTCTCTGTCTACGCAAATCCTGGTCTAGACTGTGTGGGCTTTTTCGACAGTAAAAGCGATGATGATGATGTATGTGGTTAGAGTGTGAGATGGCGGTGGCACGTGCAGGTTCAGCGGGGGCGACGTGCGGCGGCTGGGCGCGTGCCTGTGCGCGGTGTGTGGTGCCGAGCCGGCGAGCGCGCTGGCGGCCGGCGCGCTCGCGCCCGCCGCGCCCGTCACGCTACACGCGCTGCACTGCCTCGACGCGCTGCACAAGGTCACCACCACTTACCGCTTCACTGCCGACTATACAAGCTCCCTTTACCAATATGTATTAACCCTTCAAGCGCCATAAAAATCCCATGCAGTCGCATGCGAACGGCAAATCCCGAACGGTCGCATGCGACCCCATACACCCACAGCGCTTAAAACCATTAAAACTTATATTTAGAGACTACTTTTCTACGAGCCGTGGTAGATAGTGGTTAGCGTTATGTAAAATCTATACAAAATTCTGTATTCTGTGGTCTAAACAAAAGTCAGGTTGTTACTTCATTGCAAAATGATTTTATTGTATTTTGATAACAAAAAGAACATACCAAGCGTATGTTGCCGACACCGCTTCACTGCCGACTATACAAGCTCCCTTTACCAATATGTATTAACCCTTCAAGCGCCATAAAAATCCATGCAGTCGCATGCGAACGGCAAATCCCGAACGGTCGCATGCGACCGCATACACCCACAGCACTTAAAACCATTAAAACTTATATTTAGAGACTACTTTTCTACGAAGAAGTTTAGCATTATAAAATCTATACAAAATTCTGTATTCTGTGGTCTAAACAAAAGTCAGGTTTTACTTCATTACAAAAAGATTTTATTGTATTTTGATAACAAAAAGAACATACCAAGCGTATGTCGGCAACGTGAAAAATCACAATTATTTCATTACATATTACTCGAAATTATTTACATAAAAGATAAACTATATTCACACAAAAAATTTGATTACAATTTTATAATAAAACACTATACTAAAACACTAATAAAACACTAGAAAAAATCAGAAATCAACACAATAACATTCCCGCAAAAATGGCGTACGAAATGAACGTAGAATATAAATAAATATTCATAGGATAATAGTTTTTTTATTATTGATTATATATTGCCAAACTTCTTCATAGAAAAGTAGTCTCTATATATAAGTTTTTATGGGTTAAAGTACTGTGGGTGGGCGCGACCTCATGAGACCGCTAGGGATTTGACGGAATATGGGCGCGGTCTCATGAGACTGCTAGGGTGTTGAGAGGTTAAATTTAGATCTTTGTCAAAAACCATATGATTTAGTTATATCGTCCTTTAAATTTATTTTTGGAGTCAAAATCGAATGCAACATGTATAGATAACAGTTTTACAAATACTAAAACGTTGCATATATATGTATAATTCTATAATTGAGTTCTGATCATTGTTGATAATTGGTTTCGTTGCCTTATGCTCATAAAAAGCAAGTAGATTAGAAAGTTGTGTTTATTCCAGTAAATGAACGTCGCTTGTAAGAAGTTTAGAATTAACATATGACAAAACTTCCGTCACATACCAAAATTCGCGTTATTCTAAAAATTTCGAACAGTTCTAGACTATTAAAATTTCTTAAGTAAATTGCATATGAAATGCATCTCAAAGGATATGCTTGATTTAATGTAATAGTACGAACTCAACAATAACGTAGCTTGAATTTCGACCGCAAAGTAAAACTGTGCAATGCCCTTACACTTCTCTACGTGCGCGCTGCATTTTAAGGAATGATTTAATTATTAAGTGGTAGAGCCACGCTGAAGCTATATATATTATATTTGTAGCAACAAGGGGTCAACTTAATCGGGGAAAGACCATACTCTCAAATAATATTAATGTAAAATAGCAGTTTAATACTGCTGTGTTTCATATGATGATTGTAGACTACCGGTACACCCTTTTCATTTGAAAAACTCATTCTATCTTAATCCTCAGGGGTGACAACGAATATGTATTTTGACATCAATGATAGATGTAGATATTTATGAGTCACAGCATACACTTACCTTCAGGTGAAGTGTGCGTCCATTTTTCACTCTTGTTTTATATAAAAAGAAACGTAAATCGCACCTGAATTGAGTTATGTCACAGGATGGCATTAAACGAACAATAATGTTTTGTTTGAGCTTTCCATTAACATCCTTTTTGTTATGATCATGAACGAATCAACGTAGCGAAGTGTAAACGTGTTGCACTGTTTTGTTTTGTTATCGATATTCGTACCGCGTTGTCATAGAATTTGCTAATGAAGAAATATCCTCGAAATTGACGTTATTCTATAAATTTAATAGAATAATTTTACTGTAAATTATTTAACTTTTGTTGTACAATGTTTGTAATTATTGTAAGAAAGCTTTGTAAGTATTAATTATTTGAGTGTATAGGAGGCCCTGTCGCGGCACGAGCTGCTGGCGCCACTGTTCGAGGCGTTGATCTCGCTTGCGGCGGTGTGCGGCGAGCGCGTGGAGCACTCGGAGCGGTCGGAGCGCGGGCCGGCGGCCGCAGCACGCTGCCTGGCCGCCGCAGCCGCGCTGTACCGCGCAGCGCCTGCGCCCAGCGCCGCGCAGCTGCCGAGCCTGCTGCAGGTACCTACTTAAAAATTTAGTCACAGCAACCCGTAAACGCGAAAAAAAGCTTACTTTAACCATTATATAAACAACAACTTAAAAGATCCGAGGTCACTGTGGCGTAATATAAAAAATGCTGCACAAATTAAAACTACTCATTTAAATACAATTCCACACCATCTCAATGACCCGAATATTATTAATGACTATTTTCTAGACTTGCCGCCATGTGACAAACCAGAACTCAAACAAGGTTATAAAGTATGTAACGAATGCTCACACGATACCCTATTCGACCTAAACCCGACAAATGAAATAGAAATCAGTAAGATTATCAATAAAATAAAAACAAAAGCCGCAGGGCACGATAACTTGAATATTGAAATGCTCAAATTAACTTTACCTGTAACTCTCCCTATTATTACATTTATAGTAAACAAGTCGATCGAAACTAGTACATTCCCAACGCAATGGAAAAGAGCTCTAGTCAAGCCCATTCCTAAAAAGAACACAGCAAGTCAACTAAAAGATCTGCGCCCTATCTCGATCCTCCCGGTGTTGTCTAAAGTCTTAGAAAAGATTATACTTTTTTAAATGCTAAATTACTTTGAAACGAATAACCCCCTACCAAAGTTTCAATCAGGGTTCAGAAAAGGGCATGGCACGGAAACTGCCCTCTTAAATGTCACTGACGATCTAACAGAGGCCTCAGATATGGGATTGAGCAGTATTATGGTGTTGTTGGATTACACGCGGGCATTTGACTGTCTACAACCTGAAATCCTCTTAAATAAATTAGAGCACTATGGCTTTTCTAAAGACACATGTAGATGGTTTCAGTCATTCCTATCCAACAGAGAACAAATTGTGGTAACAGATGGATGTAATGGTGGCAAGAAATTCTCCACTCTACGGAAAATTGTAAGAGGAGTACCCCAAGGCTCCTTACTCAGTCCTATTTTGTTCTCTCTGTACACAGCAGACATACCTAAGCAAATAAAACATTGTAAATACCATTTATACGCAGACGACACCCAGCTGTATTATTCTTTTGAACCCAGGGATGCCAAAGAGGCAATAAACAGAATAAATGAGGATCTCCATAATATCCAAACCTGGTCCCGAAAAAATTCTCTAGTATTAAACGCAACTAAATCACAAGTACTAGTTTTGGGCACAAAAAACCAAATAAAAACTATTTTAGACAGCGAGGAAACGATTAAAATAGAAGATGAAACCTTGACACAAGTAAGTTCCGCTCGTAATTTAGGGCTTATACTAGACGGAGAGCAGAAATTTGTAGAACACATCAATAACAAGATAAGAAATTCGTACTTTAAACTTAAAACTTTATACAAAATAAGACCGTATATTAACCCATTTAGACCGATAATTATTTTTGTGAAAAATTCATGTTTCATTAACAAAACCTGATCCAAGAAAGCCTAAAAACCGGGGGAAAAATATTTAAAAAAAAATTAATAAGAGGGGGGGCGACTGAAGGGACGTACCACATATGGTACAGTAGGACTATATGTATGCAAAAAAAGACATGATTTTACTAATTAGATTTTATTTACTTTTTTGGTGTGATACATAATAAAGCACTCTACGTGGACACCGATATTGCACTTGACACATCTTGTAGGACATTGTTTGTGGCATAGGCCACACCTGGTCCTCTTTTCCTGCTTGCTGACATAGTGTTCTTTGCCGTCGTATCGAGAGTCTGATGTTATTGAAGATGGTCGACTAGGACCTGGCCTTTCGCGTTGTTTATTACAATCGATAATATAGTTTGCAATACGACGTCGAAAGTTTAGCAAGTCGATATTCCCTCCATTATGTCTGTACAGCAGCCATGCATTTTGTACAGACATGTCTATACAATGGAGAATCAGAGGCATATACCACTTTTTTCCTCGAATGCTAGTTCGCAATGACGATATATTCTGATCTGATAAATCTACTCCACCCATATTTTTATTGTATTGTTGAATGAGATGAGGTTGAGAAACAGATATTTTCTTTTTTTAGTTGCTGAGAATAGCGTTCAGTTTTGTGGACAGGATCAACACCAACTGCATTAGAGCATACTGACACTATACTATTGTCATGCCACTTGCAAATTATAATATCATCAGATATGCGATAATCATAAAAGCCTCTTTCTTTTGTCTTTGCTTCTTTGTTACTTAACCTTTTCGCTGCGCAATTCGTTTTGAGATTTTGTGCCTGCTGTGCGCATTTATTTTAGTAGTTTCATCTTTATTCGTGTTGAGCAGTTTGACCATTTAAACGCTGCGAATTAATTCGTGTTGAGCTGTTTAAAGAAATTAAGTATTGCGAGTTTATTCGTGTAGAGCAGTTTATTTTTTTTAAAACATGAATAATACATAGTAAAAATAGTCGTATTGAGCAGCTAACTAATTTAAAACTAAGCGCGAAAATATTCGTCAGGAGCGTATGATACACAAGTTTTTTTGCGAATATATACGTGTGGAGCAGCGAAAGGGTTAATAGAGGGCACTTTCCAGATCTATTTTCTCTGATAGTACCAGTTACACGAAATCCCCTCTCAGTAAGTTCATGAACCAAAGGCAAACCGGTAAAAAAGTTATCTATGAAGAGATGGTAGTTTTTTCCATAGCCTAATGTTGCTAGTTGATCTGCATAAGACAAAACCACACTTGCACCAAGACCAAGCTGGGAATATTGGGCATTCGTAAATGTAGAAGCACCTTGGTATGGTTCAAACCATGCAATGTAACCTCCTGATGTTGCACCAACCCATAATTTGTATCCATATCTTATAGGCTTGCCTCTAATAAACTGTTTGCAGCCGTGATGACCAAAATATGGGACCATAGCCTCATCAACACTATGATTCTCCTTATGTGGACAGTGCTCAAGAAACCTCATAGTTAAAACTTTTAATAAAGGACGAACTTTTGCAAATTTATCGGATGTATCTAAATTTAGATTATCAGCAACATGAATATTAGAGTAAATTAGTGTAAATCTATCTCGAGACAAGGCTGAAGCAATCAAACTATTTCTTGAGTCAGATGCATTTTCCCAGTACATTCTTCTTCTGCTCACTTGGCAGTAGCCACTGACTAACAAAATCCCTACCAAACATTTCATCTCTTCAATCTTGACGTCAGCAGAGAGAAGCTTACGTGCTAAGTATCTATTGGTTTCAATAGTAAGCATCTCAAATACTTCTTCTGAAAATAATAAAGAAAACCATTCTATCGGGCTTCTTTCAATAGGAGTATGATAAAGGGGGTTTCCAAACAATAGGTCTTAGCTGCAAGTCTCGTTTTCGCCAATTGTAATTCATGACACGTTTTTTTAAAGGTTCTTGAAATTCGGGAGGGGTTTGGTCCTCAGTTTCTGGTTTTTCCATTGAGGTTGAGGCAGCAAGCTCCGCTGGAGCTCGAAGCAAACTTCCAGGCAAATTATTTATGCTGACGTTATCTTCTTCACCCGAGTCCTCGTCAGTTTGGTAATCATTGGCGGTGTCAGGTGGAAGTAAAAAAATATCAAAATCTTGTCTCTGGTTGCTAAAATCATCATCTTCCTCAAGAACTGTAGCAATTTCATGTAATGTCAATGACCTAAAACAATAAAACACAAAAAGATAAATAAAAAGCTAATATAATAATATGTAAATTGACTTAGGTATTTTGTGCTCATACATAGACCTACTGTACCATATATGATACACCTAATCTAGCACTGTGTACACCTTACTAAAATGACCCAAGTGAAACTTATTTGTAGCTATTACGTCTATTGTAGCCTAGTATTTAAAATAATACCAACAAATAATATGATTTACTATAGATAACATGAAACTTACCTTCTTGAAGACATTGTAAATTGTTTTTTTCCGTTTCTGTCTAGCAATTTTAATATAAACTGATAATAACTCGCATAAAATGTGTATGTTATATTGTTGATATAAAACTAATACTCTGAGTTATCTGCCACAACTAACCAAAAAAGTTAATAATTTGTGGGTACATCAAAATATTTTTACAAAGTAACTGTACCACATAGGGTACGGTAGGCCTACATGGGAGAGGACCTACGCTTTCTCTTGTGTGACTCATTGCTGTTATCACAATTGAGCTACTGCAGCTCAGTCTTTGGCCCTAAATTGTCAGCTAATACCGAAAGAGCAATACAGAGAGTACAAAATGCATGTGTTCGATACTGTTGTAATGTACCAAGAAGACAATTTATAACCCCATACTTAAATGAAAAAGGCATACTCAATATGGGCGCGAGGAGAGAATTACACTATGCTTCGATAGTCCAAAAGGTAATTTGGAACAAAAAGCCAGAATACCTTTTCGAAAAACTCATTTGGATCAAAGATATTTCCTGTCGAAGTATTCGTTCTCACACACAAATGCTCCTCCACACACCCGCACACAAAACAGCAAGATATAGAAGTTGTTTCAAATTCACTGCAGCGAAAATTTGGAATGACCTCCCTCCACCCATGAGAAAAAAAATGTCAATAGATTGCTTCAAAGCCAAGTATAAATTGGCTCTGTTAAAAAGACAACTCGCTGCAGAGAATTTGAAACATCCCTATGTTAAGTTTTTACATTTACGGGACTTTTTTGTCAAAAATTAATAAGGATACACACACACACACACACACACACACACACACACACACACACACACACACACACACACACACACACACACACACACACACACACACACACACACACACACACACAAACACACATACACTCAAATAAGTTCAAAGAAAGGAAAGTTTATTTTATATTTTCTATTTCTCGTGTTGTTTTTGAATCTGTTGTTAGTTCATTTCGTAATGGTTGTTTTATGCATATTTTTAAATTTTTTATTTTGTCTTTAATGTTTTTAATCTTTTTTTGTATCTGCGATTTAATATTTATATAATATTTTTTTAATTAAAAAAATATTTTATATTGATATAATATTTAATTACTTTGTACATAGCTTAAAAGTATAAGTCAGGTAAATGGGGAGCCTGCTACTTTGGACTCCCGCACAACACCTCAGGGAGGAGGGAGCGGCTGAAAAACAGCTCTGTATGAGATCTGTATCTCGTTACAGACAAAGCTGAGCCGTCTCCTTTTGTCTCAAATAATTATAATGTTCTTTTGTTTTTAACGTGAATGTAACTGTGTGTTTTAGAGGCAATAAAATTTATTATTATTATTATTATTAAACCTAACTTAGTTAGATAACAGCGTTAACTTGATTATTTTATTTAGTATACCGTTTAATAAATCCGTGTAATGGCGGTGTAAGAATATCTATCTATCACTGGCGACTGATGCCGTTGTGTGAAGCTGGCAACCCGCGCTACGTAACGGTGCTCTTTGATGTTGAAAAAACATAACAGACACTCGCGCGTGTTGTCGTACACGTGTCCCGCCTAACGTAGCGGACGCCCTAATATTTTCTCTGTCTCTTGGGTGGCAACGACTGTCCTATAAAGGAACTGTAACCATTCTGGGGCAGGATTCTACTTTGGGCAAGGAAGAAATAATCAACTAGATAAAGTGTGCTGTTAGTTTGCATGTTTGATATATTTTTGTGTATTTTTATAATGTCAGAGTCAATACTGGAAAATATTCCTTTTAATCCTTTTCATTAAAATTTTAAATAATTTCTATAACAGGCCTTATACTTAGCCGCCAAGAAATATGGAGCCGGTCCGGCCGGGTCGGACAGGAGACGACGCAATAGTGAACAAGCTGAAGATACCACCCAAATTGCCTCACTCTTACTACAGGTAGGTTTTTATTTCCCATTTTAATTTTACGTCGTCCTGTTGCGTAATGTCTATTCTGATCGTAAGCGACTCAGCTTTCCCATTCGAAAGCCGAAGCCGATCGGACGGCAGGGAACAAGGTTCAGGACGCCGATAGTTTTGGTAATTTCTTTTTACAGTGAAAAATAATGGTAATTTAAAAAAAAACATTAGCCCTGCTTTATAGTTAGTTCAGTTAGTATGCAGATTTTCATTATCTAATTTAAAGTATTTATTTGTTCGGGGTAGTACCGACACTAAGGAGATGATAAACTGGTAACGCTTGATAAGTTTGATAAAATATAATGTGTAATGTGTAAACAAATTAAAAGGCTAGAACTACTGATAATGTGTGAGCGTAGCGCTTTTGATGGCTATAGGCGCACTGATTATAAAATACGTGTGCCGCGTAAATATATAAAAGAGGTCAAGTTGTGAAATGATAACTTAAAAAATTGTACGTTGCATTATATGCTCGTACAGTATTTTATGAATACCAGCGGTTTATTGTTAAGTTTGGGTATCTAACGGAATCGAGTTTTCGTCTAACATAGTAATTAACATTAACCTTCTACTCTCTATATATATCTACGTTATACTTTCACACAGAGCAGACGTGCATTTGGTTCAGCAATAAAATTGTAACTGCATAATTTTCTAAACTGAACATAACTGCACAGTAACAAAGTTAAATTTGCAACTGGGAGTCCACTGTTTGTTGTGACGTTTCGTTAACCACTTGACAAGCAAGCTCCATCAGCTAGCGCCCCCCCCCCTCAACACCTAAGGTAAAGAGCACAGATATTTATTTTTTATCCTCCTCACTCACCGTCGCCACAGCACGAACGCATCCGAATTGTGCCCGCTCTCGTGACGTCAAAGAAGGGTGTGTGGTCTAAGTCATGAGCGTACAGCGGTCACCACCCAGACTGAGCGGCTCGCTTACAAATTTAACAAGAAATGAGGCTGTAGTGGAGGACCAAATTACCTACCGAAAAGGCAAACAGCCTGAACCTAACTGCAGCTGTACCCAAAAGATACAAGAGTTTCGAAAAGAAGTTACGTCTCTATTGACTAAATTCACAAAAACACAAGAAGAAACATTGGATTTTATGCGCAATAATTTAGCCGAAGTTAATTCCAAACTAAATGAAATAAAATTATCTACGGATACGCTTGCCAAGGAACAGAATATAATAAAATTCCAAGTCTCAGATTTGGTTAAAAAAACTGATAATGCAGATATCAACATTCTTAAACTGGAAACAAAAATTGCCAATATCCAACAATTGAACATAGATACGAACACTGAAGAAAAAATAATGCAAGAAATGAGAGAACGCATTATTCGAGAAAAAAATATTGTTGTTGTCGGTGTAAGAGAGTATAAAGACGCAAACACAAATGAAGCCTACTCCCATGATATGACAGAAGTAGTTTCTATTATTAGAAGTTTGATCGGAGATTGCCCTAAACCAGTTAAAATATTCCGGTTAGGCAAGCTTAATGCACTTAAGAGTCGCAACATCAAAGTCTGCTTTGAGTCTTCAGAGACAGTCAAAATGATATTACGTAACAGAGGAAAACTTAAGATCTTCTATGATCAAACTCCAGCCCAACAAAAATATTTACAAAATTTGAAAGAAGAACTAGCAAGAAGAGTATCTAACCATGAGAATAACATCACAATTAAGTACATCAGAGGAATACCCAAAATCCTTAAAACAGAATCAAAAAACGACAAGAGCTCTTCAACATCTATTCATTAAATAATCAAGATGTAGAAGATATTACATAGCAAGTAGTTGATTGTTACCAAAACGTCACCTCAAATAAATCTAACCTTAACTTCTTTTATGCTAATGCCAGAAGTATTTGCAAACCAGGTAAATTTGATGAACTCAGGTGCATTATCGAAGCTTTTAATAAAACCGTACATATAATATTACTGACTGAGACCTGGCTAAGATCAGATGACCAAGTGGCACGTTTTAATATAACGAACTATTCGCACTACTACAACGTTCGATCGGATGTCATTGGTGGCGGGGTATCCATTTTTGTGCATAATAATCTAAAGCATGACTTAAGCGTGGAGTCTTACACTGGCGGAAACAACTACTTGTGGATACATCTTGAAAAATATGCACTTGATGTAGGAATTGTGTACAAACCAGGTCACACGAATCTTAACAATTTTCTCAACACATATCAACTACAAGTGCAGCAAAGAAAAGGAGCAATTGTCATTGGTGATACGAATATAGATCTTTTGGTATCCGATAGTAAGACTACGCTGTATAATGATCTACTAAAAGAAACAGGTTTCAAAATAATTAACAATATTGATGCACTACACAGCACCCGTGTGTCACCAACGTCGAGAACTATTATTGATCATGTTGCTACAAATCTTAATAACCAAAAATTTCATATGGCTATCATTGAATCTTCTTTTTCAGACCATAAAAATAACTATGTAGAAATGAAAAAAGTGAAACCACCACGAATGAAAAAGTTACGTTACGAAGCTACTAACTATGAAATTTTATACAAGCGCACCAGAAAACATGAGCTTGAAAATGAAGACCGTAATTTTGGAACTCTAGAAGAATTTATAAAGAAAAATTTATCAGAAAGTAAAGAAATAAAACATAAAATTATCAATCAAACTCAGAAAGAATGGGTTAGTAAAGAGATCATAATAGAGATCAAAAAGAGGAATCAACTGTCGAGTAAACTAAAGCAGAACCCAGAAAATAATGAACTAAAATCAGAATATACTAATGAAAAGGCAAAAGTGGCGAGACTTATCAAGACTTCGAAATGCATATATTACTATGGAGAGTTTGAAAAATGTAAAAGTAAACCTAAAAAGATGTGGAAACTGATAAATATACTTTCTAAAAATAAACCTATTGTAAGCTGTGTTCCCCCAAATCTTAAATCAGATAACGGCTTAGTTAATAAATATCCTGTGGCTATCTGTGAGTTGTTCAATAAGTTTTTCTCAAATATTAATACGCAACTGGCAAACAAAATAATGCCCAATTATTATAACGACGATACATACACATTGCCAAAACTAAAATCGGATACAAGTCAAATCAAACAATGTGATAAAAATGAGATAGCTAATATTATCGATGGTCGCAGTCTGTGATAAAAATGAGATAGCTAATATTATCGATGGTCAGGAAACTAACACTAGTACAGGCGTTGACTCCATTAGTACAAAAGCAATTAAGTGTATTAAAAATCTTATTATTCACAATCTCACTGACTGTCTTAATAAATTACTGGTACAAGGTATATTCCCAGATAGTCTAAAAATAGCTAAGGTCAGTCCGATCTATAAATCTGGTATAAAGACAGATCCAGGAAACTATCGGCCTGTGTCGGTTTTGCCAGTGCTTTCAAAAATCTTGGAGAAAGTAATCTACAAACGACTGAATGACCACTTGACTAAAATAAATTTTTTGTGTGATCAACAATACGGCTTCCGATCAAAATCAAATACTCTTAGTGCAGCTATTAACGTAGTTACTAAAATAGATCAAAATCAGCTTGCGTTAGGTGTGTTCATTGACCTAAAAAAGGTCTTTGACACAGTGAGTCACTCGTTGCTACTGAAAAAGTTAGAGTATTGGTGTAACTGACATGGCACTCCAGATGTTAAAATCTTACACTGAAAATAGATACCAGATTGTAAGGATTGGAAATTATCAAAGTAACTCCTTACCTATAAATTGTGGAGTACCACAAGGTTTGATTCTTGGCCCGCTATTGTTTTTAGTGTATGTTAACAATATTTGTGAAGTAGACTTACACGGCCATCTCACTCTGCAGACGACACATGTTTATTCTACTTTGGACAGAATATAAATCACCTTACTACGCTTGCTCAACAAGATCTCAACACACTACACAGATGGTTCTAGTACAACCTATTAACAATAAATACCGCCAAAACATCTTACGTAATATTTAGTGCAAAAAACAAAAAAAATCAACACCACACAAAATTACACGTTAACGGAGAAATATTCGCCAGTCTAATCAAGAAAAATACCTTGGGCTATTGCTTGATAAACATCTGTCATGAAACGGTCATTTATCAATTATAAAAATAAGCTTTCATCTCTAATAGGTTCTACATACAGCATAGCTCGATGTATACCACCGAAAGCTCGCCTTTTGATCTATAACGCATTGGTTAAACCACACTTAATTTACTTAATAGAGATATGGGGTACAGCAGCCAAAACTTTACCACAAAAGATACAAGTACTGCAAAATAAATTAATAAAAATTTTATATCATTACGACTTTTTAACTTCGACCGAAACAATATACCATGATACGAAATTACTAAACATCAAACAATTATACATCTATAACACATGTATATTAATATATAAAATCACACACAATATGTTCCATTCAAATATTACATTCACCACAAAAGGAGAAACACTAAAATACTCATCACGCCGTGCAAACCGTTTGTATTACTAAATATTCGCACTAATTATGGAAAAAATGCCGTAACATTTGCGGGAGCACAGTTGTATAATAAACTCCCTTCAACTATAAAAGATGCAAGTTCGCTCAATATTTTCAAGAAAAAATTATTAGACCACATTAAAAAACAAGACATTATATAACTTGGACCACCGTCTTATATTATCAATACTTTAAACATTGCTCTTACGCAGTTAACTTGCAACTTCTATATATCTAATTTTGATCTACCCTAATTTATGTTTTCAATTTAGTATATTATTTGTGATTTATTTTAAATTGTATAAATGTACTCATGTAAGTGACATTAGTCTTAATGAGTAAATAAAGATCTTTAAACTGAACCTTCAACTTTACCATATATTTATTTTAAAATTAATGCTGCAATATTTTCGGCATAACGGAGGATCTTGCTAAGCCATTTGAGGTAGGAAAGGCCCCTATTTCCTCTTAAGATAATTGCTTGTTCGAAAGTAACTGCAGTCAGCAAAAGATCTCCCCTATTTAAATAGATATAATACAAAGAATGTGATAAAAAAATTCAACGAATGGTAAGCCTGTAACTGTTAATATTTTTTATTCACTGCATCTACTATATCATACTCGTACCTAGTTCACATAATGGCGGTCACTGTAGACATGAACTTTCATGCAGAGTTTTTTTTTATTTATATAATAAGGGTGACAAACGAACACACTGTCCACCTTATTGTAAGTGAATAGTGTGGCCTATAGAAATCTACATTTATCCTTGGTTAAGGCTAAGCTAAATTTAAATTGTTTACCGCTATATTTACATCTTTATTTACAGTATATACAAGGAGATCATCAGCAAATTGCAAATAGTTTATATTTCTATTTGTAATATATTTATTTATTGAACATGTGTATATATTATACAACAAGGGAGATATAGTAGCACCCTGCATAGTGCCTTTGTATACATTTCTAGGGCCATATATAATGTTATTAAATTTAACATACATAGTTCGGTCATATAGCAAATTAAAAATCCATTTACATACTTTCCAGGAATACCAAGCTCACATAAAATATTTGCCAATATGGAAGAATCTACATTATCAAATGCACTTTGTATGTGTTTTGTATGGCGAGTGTAGATAACACAGACCCTTTTACTGGGAATATGACATTTCATCTTAGTCCTCAGGGTTGACAACACCTTTTGCCTTTGATTCAGCCAGCCACTCCTTGGTGCAACAAAAAAAGGGATTAATAATAGAAAATTCATTACGAATGTAAACCGAATGAGATTTGGACATAGCAGAGTAGCTGCCCACCTGCATCGTCTGGGAATGAAAGAAAATGCAAATTGTGAATATTGTGGTGACATGAACGGAGACCTAAAACATCTGGTTTTTCAATGTTGTCAATTTGGTTTGAATAGATTACTCCTCATCAATTTCATTCAAGATATTAACAATGATAAAGTTCCTGATACTCTTCAAAGTCTATTAGCTGATAAAAATTCTTCCGACCGTTATATTCCTTTATTTCTGGCGTTCAAGATATATAAAAATGAAACGTGGTATTATTTAATAGTGTAAAAACGTGAATATACGCTAGTAATATATAAGTCAATGGCGTAAGCACTTTGTGATTTGTGAATCAATGTAAATGTGTAAAAGTGAATTTTTGATGAATGTTTCGTACATGACATCTATTTTTAAAGATTTTAATTAAATTATATATTGTAACTTCAGGCTCAGAAGGGCTAGAACCCAGAACCGTAAAGCCAGTTAATAAAAAAAACATACAAAACACAGCAGCATTAAGCCGCTATTTAACGCTGGTATACTGTGAGAGCCTTGTCCTTTCCCGGTCGAGCCGAGCCATTAGTGCTACAACCACGTTGTAACTGTAGCGTGGCTCTGCCACGTTAAAATTTCCAAAAATTCCTTACATATCTAATGGCTGTAAAATTATATCTTTTCAAATCTAAACACAACAGTGAATGCACTGTAGGTACAGAAATAGGTAAAAGGGCAGTATGACCGCAGAGTGACTCTTAGACATAACAGGAGCTCCATCATCTTGTGTATTTATCTAACAAGCGGTTTTAAGGATTTGAATTTTTTTTAATAGGTGCTGGCTACCGGGTTACCGTTAGCGAGAGAGAAACCCGACGAGTACGAGGAGTTCTGGGAGACACTGCCCACAGTTTTGGAGACATTCATGTTTGAACCACCGTAAGTAGTTATAATTAATTTTATTGTTAGATAAAATAGTTTTGCATTAAAATAGTGTTGATGATGATGAATCAATAAAGAAAGATATTCGGAGCGTTGTGTACATTTTAGGTAACGTCGAAATTATGTTCTACTACTTTACACGCCATCACACACATATTTTTTTTCTTTATCAATGCATCACCAACATATACATAACATAATTTACCTACCTTTACCTACGTAGATTGGCTATTACTTTAAATGCTACAAATCAAAGGCATCTCATCCAACATGCACTGGAATATAATTGATAGAATCAGGCGTTACTTTGCGGAAATCCATTATAATAAAAATATAAATTACCCCGCAACCTTCCGCTAACTAAATACAATAACTTTTTTTTTGGTGGGTAGGTGTGTAAAAGTCAACAGTTTATTTGTTAGCTCCGTTTTATTTATTCAATTTAAAATAGTTTAATATCTAATTTAAGTTCAATTACTTTCAAATCAGTGACTTAACACATTTTTGTTTACATTGTTATTATAAACATATGTGTTTAAAGAAGATTTAAGAACTTACTTGCATCACCCTACAGCTCCATTTAGCTTACAAGTGAATAACTATATTTATACATTTAAAGTATTTAACGCATGATGGCAAATGTCACCAAGGTTGATCTGGTGCAGAAGGAACTTGAAGTTGATTGGTTGCAAAAGATGTCAGAGTTTGAGAAATGCTTAAAAGCTGCTTTAGTCCCATCAAATCCAACCTTGGTTCAGCTAAGTGAGGAATTTTATGCTTTTAAAGACTTAGTGAGCAACATGTTTAGTCTTCTGCAGCAACAGTTTCGGAGGTGTACTAATGTAGTTGATGAAATAGATATGCGACAAAGGCGTAAGGTACTACTTTTCAATGGTATTCCTGAAGAGTCTGGATTAAATGCGGAACAGTACTTGCAATTGTTCATAATAAATTGGGCCTTTCACATATAAGCAACTCTTCGTTGAAGCGCTGTCATCGATTGGGAGCAGTAATCGGATAAGAGCTGTATTTGTTCATTTCCAAAGTTATGATACTAAATCTGAAGTCTGGAGATCTAAGGCAAAATTAAAGAATACACCATACACAGTATCGGAGTTTCTCACTAAAATGAGACAGAGTACATATAAGAAGGCACGCCGACATTTCGGCATGAAGAATGTTTGGACTCTTGATGGAACCATAAACATTAGGCTTCCTGATAGTAGCCGCATAAAAATTTCCACTGAGGAAGAGTTTGATATCCTTTTTACTAAATGGCCCAAGCCTAATTCTCCTTCTGTCACTGCGCAGAAAAGCCCATTAGATGACAAGACCAGTCATCCCAGCGGTTCAAAGTGTAGAAATCAAGAAGACACGTCGTGTTGTGCTTAAAAAATAATTCCTCTGCTATCGGCAGTTTGTATTCTATCTTCAGTTCTTAAATTTTTTTATTTTTTTTATTTTTTCGTTTTTTTTTCTTTGGTTTTTCATTTGTTTGTTGTCATTGTTTGTTATCATACGTTGACGGTAATTGTATTATTTACTTTATTTGCTTGATAAAACAAATATACAGCGGATATAGTGACATAGTAGATATAGTGACAGTTCGACACAAAGAGTATAATATAATCACTATGTTTATGGAGTAAGCTTTTGTATAGAGGATAGAATAAGCTGTGTTCGAAAACTAAATTGTACATTATTAATCTTGTATTTCGAAACTTAATCGTATTCCTTTGGTTTTTTTTTTTTGTTTTTGTATGGTACCTTCTTGCTGCTCTGTTAGCAAAATTTAAGTTCTTTTGTATCACACTGTTAAAAATATGTTCTTTTTGCATTACTGTTTGTTTTGGTGAATTTTGTTGTCAAATAGTATCTATTAAGTTATCTTGTTAATTAAGTGACTAACTTATTAAGTGATTAACTAACACTAAACTTTTGTCTTATTATGCTTTGATCAAGTAGGTTAGTGTTAATTGCTTTTTTTTAAATTCTTATTATCATTGTAAACTATAGATATTCCTTTGCAATCAGTCAACTGTTGGGTGATGTATAATATGTATTGAGTCGTATTTTGTAGTTAGTCTAACAATAATAACATATTATTATATTATCTAATAACATATTATTTTATATTTTTTATTTATTTAAAATTTATTATTCTTATATCTTTATTATTAATGTTAGATATGTCGGATGATGAATCTTTTTATTCTGCCCATGATTCAGATATCTCGTTCAAGTCTTGTGATGGTAGTGATAGTAAGCCCTCCCTCCGCGATGAGCTGATCAATTTATTTACTCCTTGTAAAAACTTGCTTAATGTATGTCATGTCAATGCTCAAAGCATTCCAAGTCATTATTTTTATTTTGAAGAAGTATTTTCTATAGATTGTGTGCATGCAATCTTAGTATCAGAAAGTTGGTTAAAGCCATCATTAGTGTCCAGCTTATATCCTCTAAATGATTTTGTTCTTGTGCGTAACGATCGGATTGAAAAAGGAGGAAGTGGTGTTGCCATATACCTTAGAGCAAACATCCCTTATAAAATAATTTTAGCTTCTCCATCTGCGTATTCTGCCTCATCGGAGTTTCTGTTTCTGGAAATTGATATCAAAGGTGTAAAGGCAATTCTTGGGGTAGTATACTGTCCACCTGCTGTTAATTTTTTCGACGCTTTTGAAAGCGCCCTCGCCTCCACTTCATCGGAGTACACGCACTGTATAATAATGGATGATTTCAATACTGATTTGTTGAGAAATTCTTCTCGTTCTCAAAAATTTCGTTCAATCATCATTAGTACCTGGGTGTCATGTTGGATCAGAGACTGACCTGGTACAGCTTGAGCAACTTGCCGGAAAGTCAGAAAGTTGATTTGGGTCTTTAGATCATTAAGGCTTGTGGTTCCAGGTAATAATAAAAAAATGGTGACCGGGAAACATCAAGAACAATTTTGAATGAGATATATATCGCCTTGGTTCAATCTGTCTTGGAATATTGCATTCCTGTTTGGGTAGGTGCGGCAAAAACTAAGTTTATAGAGGTTGAGAGAGCACAATGTGCGCTTATTAAAGTTGCGAACTTCAAAATATTAGATACCCCACGGAAAGGCTTTATCTGTGATAGTGGGCTACTTTCGGTAAGGAAACTGTATATAAAACAGATCACACTCAATAAACACAAAAATATACCCTACGATGCAAGTAAAAAAGGAAAAAGAAGAAAAAATAATGTGGCTTCAGTATCCCAAACTAAAACTAAGTTTGCTAGTACTCAATATAATAGTCGCTCGTCTCAAATTTATAATAAAAGCAATAAAGAACTAGATATTTATTCGAAACAATATATCGAATGTAAAAAGCTAGTACAAAATTGGTTCGTCACTTCATTATGAGAACACTGAGCTGCTTTTACATACAAACACATACACGCGCAAGCACACACGAGCACACACACACACACACTCACACACACACACACACACACACACACACACACACACACACACACACACACACACACACACACACACATACATACACACACACACACACACACACACACACACACACACACACACACACACACACACACACACATACACACACACACACGCACGCTTTCGCATACATATAACAAATATAATAATCTGAGGAGAAAAAAACTGTAAATACTCCCTTTTAGTCTTTAAGTTTTTCTTTGTAATGTCATATTTCATAATGTAAATAATATAATATATAGATATTGATATGGAAGAGCGGATTAACCTGGTACAGGCATTATGGAAAATCCGGCCGCTAATGTCTGTAAACCAATTCTATTTTCTGAAATAAATTTTATTATTATTATTATCATAGAGTCAGTCGATCTCCAAATTCTCCCCTTAGCGGCAACTCACCACAACATTGACACTGATGACTCATGGATTGATCATATTATCACGGCTTCTCCCGATTATGTCATCAAGCACGGACAACTATCGGCTCCTGCTTTTTCACGACATGATCTTATTTATATATCATATAAGCTGATTTCTCCTAAACTCAATCCCGTCGTACTATACATTCGTAATTTCTCTAGAATGGATTTTGATAAACTTAAATGTGACGCCTATCGTATTGACTTAACCTCTTTATTTAAATCAACTTGTATTGACGATAAAGGATTAAGGATTATTATTTTTGGTTTAATTTTATTTTAAGGATTAATTTAATTTTAAGGATTTAGGACTCTGAATGCATGCAATGTTGTGTCTGTGTGGCATACTATCATTGCATATGTGTCGCCATTTCGCCTGCTCAGCTTAAAAACCTATCGACTGAAGTTAAGGCAGATTGGCTGTGCCCTGAATGTAAGAATAAAAAGCCGCGCAGCGATAACTCTAATACACCGGTCCGGCCATCGACGCCCAGTAACCCCAAAGCTAACGTTACCTTGCGCCGTAAAGGCCCGGATTCACTCCTTGAGTCAGACGCCGGTACGAGTTTTAATGTATCACGGTCGGAGTTGCGTGTTATTATACAGGAGGAGATGAGGGTCATCATGGAAGAATGCGTGAGAGATTTGAAAGCTGACCTGAATAGACAACTACAGGCTTTTAGGGGAGAGATCACTGGTCTCACGGAATCAATACAATTCATGAGTGATTCGTTTGAGCAATGTAAAAAGGATTTGAGTGGCTGTAAGACTAAAATTGACACAATTATTAAGGAAAAGGAAACCCTACAGAGTGATCTTATCATCATTACTAGCCGTCTTAATCAAATGGAGCAAATCTCTCGGGCATCGAACCTGGAAATCCAATGTGTTCCTGAGCGTAAGTCTGAAAACGTTTTATCTATTGTAACAAAATTGAGCAAAACCATATGTTGCCCTATAAACGAGTCGGATATCTTATATTGTTCACGCATTGCTAAGAAGAACCCCGAGAGTACCCGTCCTCGCTCTATTCTAGTTAAACTTAACAGCCCTCGCTCCAGGGACTCCCTGCTAGCCGC